CAGCGGTTTCGAGAGTTTAAGATAAAATATTTAGATTAGGGCTGGAGAACGCGCGAGCCTGACGAACTCGACGCCGCCGCTTGGTATGCAACAGTGAACCGACATGTGAGCAGGCAAAACGTGCGCCTCGAATATTTCTGGGCTTTCGGCGCTTTGCTGTGCGCGACTATGCGGGACCATTTTTTTTTCTACATGAATAATCCCGTCCGAGAACGGATACCAGCATTTTCTTTTTTTAATGTCGTCGTTTATATTCTTGAGTAATATTTGCGTTGAAAATAAATTTCCACGGAACGAAATTGCACACAATTCGATTTCCTCTATTAATGACTTTCGTAGATTAATGCTCGCGGCGCGTAAACACAATATCGTATTCGATTTACCTTACATTTTACAGTAATTTATACCAAGGGTACGAACGTTCACGGTCTATTTATAATTCTCCATAAAATATTTGATTAAAATCGTGTCCGTATATTAATCATTTCGCTGAAAATTTATTACCGTTGCCGGAACTACGAGTCCGGCTCGTGCGCGAATTTGATCGACATTTACCGTTTCCATCTGTTCGTCTGGGTATAAATAGCGCAACACATTTCAATATGGCGGAAATATTTTTGTAACTGAAATAATAAGGCGGTCTTTGAGAACGTTCGAAGTCACAAACTTCCACGTTCATGAATTTTTTAAAAGCGCATCGTATTGCATATATTTCTGTTTATTGTGTTTTCTTCTGTAATCGTTCTCGTTTCTCACATTGAATGAGAATTTATTACCAATTACGAGAAAGCGCGTTCCGTTTCATCTCCGGAATCAATAGACTGCATTTTAATCTAGGTGTGGCTACCGTCATACGTGTAATAATATTGCCGCCATTTCTGCGATTGGATTATTACTATGAACATCCCGGTGACCTTCAGCGAACACCACACATTCCTGTCAATTTTTTGTACCGCCACGTTGGCTCGATATAAGGACATACTTATCCCAGAAATACTACGTACATTAAAAGTTAACAGCGGCGATTATTGTTGTAACAACAGATTTCTGTTTCCTCCTTCTTCGTTCTATACCTTTGAAGGAAGCGAACCCAGCGTTATCTAATCGTTTTACCATCATAAGAACATTCTACATACATCGGCTCTGCCAATAATTTCTACCTGCACACTTTCACTTCGCGGTGATTACCGCTAACTAGAGTGACTTTGCCTGGCGACGCCGCGATAAATTCGATTTGTAAACGCGCGTGGTCGTTTCCCTCCCGTTTGCCTGTCAGGCAAACGCGGTCGAAAAGCATTCCCGACTGCTTTCGATCTTCCTATACTCTTTATCCTAATCGGAATCAGTGATGAACCTACAAATCGACCTTCCAATGTTAAAAATGTCGCAACTGGCGTGCGATATTTTAACGATTCAACGGGAGAAAATAGTTGCATCAAAGGAATATTATTTTCCAATTAATTGAATCTCCATTATTATATGAATTCGTTGGGTACAAATGAGGTATTTATATTGTATTGTTAAGTCTAGTAAGTTAACTCTATTGTTAAGATCATCATAACTTGTATGTTCTGATAAAATATATATGTTACTAAATATTGATTTCGAATGTGACTTCGTACATCTGGATCATTATCGAAATTTATCTAGCTAGATCGGAGAAAATCTCACACTGTCCGCCACACGTTGAACAGAAGTCGATCCTTTCCGTCCCGCGCAAACGACACGGGAAGGTCTCAAGGAATCGGCGACCGAATTCGCAATCTCTGTCAACGCAAGTCGTCCGCGAATCTAAGGACTTTCCCCGTGAGTCATCGCCGCGACGACGAACGCGACCAAGTTTCTGTTCCGCGTGTTCTGCCGGTCGTCCGGCAAAAAAGTGACGTCAGCTTCCACGAATCGGAGAACCGCACTCCGCGACGCATTCTGAGCGTAGTCGCGACCCGGCTGCAGGTTATATAGTCTAGCAAGCTTCGATCACACTTGTTGAGGGGAAGCCCTCGACCAGCACTACGTCCACCACCACCGCCTCCTCACCTCCGCATTCTCTCTATCTCACCCTCTCTCTCTCTCTCTATTTCCCTTTCCCATCGTTCCTTTCTCTCACTCCCGTGATCACTTTCCCCCTACATTCAGTCCCGCGCGCACCTTCTTCCCACCTTCGGTTCATGATCTATCTCCCACCCCTCGAACAGTGCCTCTGCAAGTGACCCTGACCTTGCGTCAACTTCCGTATTGTCTCCGTACGCGGATTTCGGACGAATCCGACGGTTTTGAAAACCGAGTGCAGCCGGCTGGCTGGGCGGCCACAGTTTCGTACGGTTCGCGTGAACATTGTACACGTAAAACCGGTGCTCGATCGTTGGCCGATGAGTGAACTGCGAGGCAGTTAGCACTGACGTGTAAATTACAACCGGATAGCATATTTCTTTTTCTTTTTTTCTTTTTTTTCTTTTTTACAGATTTACAGAATTCTTGCAAGACCGAGTAACCTTTGCTTGTAAGATTTCCCAAAAATACGTACGCGTCGAACGATGTAACGGTTCGAATTGTCGAATCAAGTGCTAACGCATTGTAACGCGTGTCAGGTGCGTAAGCATGCCAGGCATCACCGGTGCAAAAGCATACCTAGTATGTACCAACGGTTTTGAACTGTTGTAGCGAATGGTACATGGTACAGTTGAAAATTATGCACATGTGGTGTATGTACATATTGATAACTTTAAGTTTTTACCTTTGTACAGATTTTCATTTTCGAGGTCATTTCTGCTGCCAGAAAATGATCTTTACACGTAAATATATACACATCTATTCGTGAAGATATTCTGTCAGACGAATTTTTCCGATTTCTTTAAGAATTCCATCATGGCCGCTCCTTTGGGAGCCACTGGTATGGATTATGTTCGTCTCTCAAGGGGTTATACCCTTGACGATAACTTCGATGACGGACTGGCGAGGTTACTTGCCTCTATATGCCTGAGCTTTTTCATCGGCGTTCGCCGCGAGCTGAAAGAAGAGATTTGAAGCACGAGGTAAGAAGCCAGACGCTTCTTCATTGTGCGGAATGCGTTCTACAGATCGGCTTTTCGCGGTGAACTCTACCTATTCACGTATTCCCCATGAAGACTTGGAAATTAAAGCTTGCAGCCTACATGAAAAAGATTCGAATTGAACTAAGAAGCCTTTTTTATTCGGCCCGTGAAATTGTTATCGCTAGTTCTTAGTTCACTATTAGCGTCAAAACGAGACGGATAAGTGAACGCTAGCGAAAATAAGAACACACATTGACACTCGATGAGTTAAGCCGACGGATAGATGTGAAGGGAAAGAAGAGGTGAAAAGCTCCGCCACCACTGAGCTACCGGCGGTATATACGGCCGTTTATGTGCACACATACCAGTACATAAATACATGACCGTCGAACCGTCGTTCGGCTCTTAAGAAAACATAGACCAGTGGTTCGTAACCTGGTGGAAGGAACGATCGCCGTGTGCGTACCAGTCACTTTGTCAGTGGCGGCCACACAGTGAAATTTTCATATTTTTAGAGAATATTCGCATCAAGATCTAGCGTGAAGCAGTGGCTCTTAACCGGGGAGACTTCTCTCGAAATTTCGACGTCGTCCGATCCTGCATTTTCAATTTAAACCGTGCAATCGTTACAGTATTTTTAGATTCGTCAATTTTCCCTCGGTTAATATTATTATTTGCTGGGATTTATTTACGTGAAAGAGATTGTGGCTTAAATTCTAAGGAGCACACGTTCCTTCCATGATTGCAAAAGAAAACCCCGGTTAAGGGGGAAAAAAACCGATATCCTTGGTTTCTCTTTACGGAGAATAGTTTCGGTGAGTGGTAACACTGCAGGCGTTCCTACATAAAAATCACGTTCCCAATGAATTATCTTAAGCGGGAGACCGACTGGGAGTACCTTGACTTTAAATGCGAAAAATATAACTTGAACGTGTTTCGAATACAATAGTTAAATAACTGGTGTGTGACGCAAACGGGCAGCAACAAAACCGAATGTAACCCAATACACGCTTGGGATAATCGATAGCTTAACAACGACTAGAAAAAATTTACGAGTTGGGCGTGGAACTGTGACAGTTTCCAAATTATTTCCGCTTCTACAAAAATCATATGCCTTTCACTTTGTATTCATAAATTTCAGTCTCATATATTATATTACAATATTAAATATTATAATATTATATATTATAACATTATAATATTATATATTATAATATTATTATATTATATATTATATTATATATCTAGTCTTTTGCATATAAACACTGTAGTATTAAAGAATTAAGAAATTTGTTCTGTACGAATCAGATATTAGAAAACTTGATGTTGATAAAGGAACGAAAGAATCAGGTAGTATATATATCTAGTCTTTGCATATAAACATTGTAGTATCAAAGAATTAAGAAATTTGTTCTGTACGAATCAGATATTAGAAAACTTTATGTTGATAAAGGAACGAAAGAAGCAGGTAGTGCGTAACCAAAATAGGACAAAAGTTTCCTCTGTTTCTTTTTTCCTTACGCAAAGATGTTCCCGGCAACAGAGATAACGCTCGACCGATCGATTCTGGCGCGTTCTTCGAGAACACAGTTCAACACTGGACTCGGCCGTTTCACGGAACAATCGTTTTCCCGCGTTTCTGTGTCGTTTCTCGCATTCTTCCAACCTTAATCACACACGCGGGCGAACTACACGCGATTGAACGTGTTCGCTAAGTTGGCGGTCAAATGAAATTTCTTCCTGCAAAAGATTAACCCTCGATGCAGAACGATATTTGCTAATCAGAAAAATTCTAGACCACCAAAGATATTTGTGGTATGTGACAAAAGATAACCCGATGGCAATTTTCAAGTTTCTTTTAAATGTAACAACACATTAACATATTAATAAGTGTCCAGTAAGAAAAACAATAATAATTGTTCACGATAAGATAAAGGGCGGCAGAAGAATTCAAATAAATGGACTCACCTTTATCCATCCTCCGTGGGCAGTGACGACAACGTACAGCAAGTACAGATCTATATCTTTCCCGTTGATTTTTGGGCATTTCTTGAATGAAGTTCTGAAAATTAGAGAAAGCAATTAATAAAATCACGTACCCGCAAGAATAATAAAAACAATGATTCCATAAATAGAAACATATCTCGCGCGTATACGATCGTTAATTCGTCTACGAACACTAAACATTTAATATTGCTAAAACGATATGCAAACAATATGGCTGCCAGTGTGCAACAGCACATTTACATAGTCCAACGGACACTAAATGTATTATACAGTCGAAATATGATTTTAAATACACTAGCAGTAAATGAAATGTCCATCGATGTTGTGAGAAAAGTATTTCACTTTTAATGCGACGTCAATGCAGACACTGCCGACTACTTCATTTTCTCAAATGATGTTATTCGAATTCTCGCTGAAACCATGATTACATGCCTGCAATTCAGAACGCTTTGTTTCCATTTCCGAATCGAGTAAAACACGCGAACAATGACGTAATAAACGGTAGCGTCTTCGCGTGAAACGATCTTAGTTTATTCGTCCGTTCGAACCTACACATAGGTGTATCAAAATCCAAAGATAGAGGGAGAGGGGGAGAACGTGCGTTTATAATGAACAAAACAACTGGGAGACGCACAAATCGCCAAACAGATACACACACGCACAAAGCAAAAGCAGAAAGAGAAGAGAGAGAGAGAGAGAGAGAGAATCTGTGAGGAAGAGAGACACACAGAGAGAGAGGGATAGAAAGAGAGAAAAAAATCAGCAAGTTCATCGTAATATCGGTAGATTCAATCGAACTCCTAACCTCAATCACAGCGAGATACGCATCGTCGACAAAGAAAACACGCGAGACACGTGTAAACAAATAGCGCGGAGCCACAAAGAGGCGACAGGGTCCCTGGAAAACTCGAGACTCGAACCGTACATAACCTCAACTCTGTGTTCACATTCTATACAGAAACGCCAAAGTCGCTTTACTTTCGAATGGTTAAACCGAGAACTTTCTTCGCGTGAAAATAGTTCTCCGGGCGGGCAGAGAGTCGTGCGATGAAGAGGAACAACAGTAATTTTCGCGTAAATAACGTACACAATAACGGGAATCGACTCCGGTCCCGAGAGTATAGAAAGCGAGATGCAGAAAAACGACGGTGTCCCTTACCCTCTGGTCTCATGAAAGTGACGTAGGTCCTTCAGGAAGTTCTCCCTCTCCCTCTCGTAGGTGACGGGGTCCTTGTTGAGGATCTTGGCCATGTTCGCGAGCGAGTAGAGTGCGTGGGCGTGCTAATCGGGGTGTGCTCTGGGTTTACAGGGCACGCAGGGGCAGCGGTCGGAGAAATAGGCGCAGCAGCACATGGGCGCTCATGAGAGCACATTTACGCCAGGAGCGTCCTGGTGGCACGAGGCAGGAGGAGGTGGCGACGATGGACAGGAGAGGACGAGGACGAGGACGACCGCGGGTCGACACGGGGTCGCGACCCGCTCCCGACATCGGGTCGTCTTGTCCTGGCCCGAAGTGTCGGCCGGTGGCCTCTCTGTCGCGCGCGCGAAACAAAACCGCCGCTTCTTCGTTTTCCCTGTCTTTTGGTTGCCGTATACACACACCGGGAAATTTGGTGCACCGATGTACGTTTTTTTTATTTATATATATATATATATATATGTATGTATATATATATACTGGCGTACATATATATATATAAATATATATATATATATACACACGCACGCACACACACTCAGGCACACACACACTGGGACTAGGTACGGTGCGTGTAGCCCTCGCGCCGTGAACTGGCCACGCGTGGGGAAAAATCCGAATCCTCGGTTCGTGGCGTACACGTAGTAGGTTCCACACACAGTAGTTCACTGCCGATCGACCGCGCGCGAGAGAGAGCGAAACACGGCGGGCCGCAACGCGAGTTTCCTCGCGGGCCCGCGGACCGCGATCGATTCACCTGTCACTTGTCAACGAAACGCCTCGGCTCGGTATACGTCGCGGCCACGCGCGCCTATTACTCACGATAACCCGTCGAGCGTCGAGCGTCGACCGTATCAACGATTTCGAGCGCGGCGGACCGGACGCGGCTGCACAGACCGGAGCAGTTCTCGCGAGCAGAGCGCGTTTCCCTTGGAGCGAACGCTTGACGTGCGCCCGTATATCAAAATGGCGTCTCCTCCTGCCTGGCATCCATTGGCGAAGCCACGGCCAATTTCCCCCGTGTACACCGATAGCCTACGAGCAGCGCCGACCCTACACAACCGCGACACCGTTTCCGCTGCTGCCACACAACCTCTCGCACCGCGCGGCGGCACACCCTGCACGCACACTCTCTACGTCATTTTACGCGGCCGGAACACCGCGTTGCCCCGACTACACCACCGTATGCGCCTCCGCTTTTTTACCCTCGTCGTAACCGTGCAAACGAAATCCCGGGTCGCGCAGTATTTTTACTTTCGAAACGGTTCGGGACTCCCCTCGCCAGTGGCGCACCGTTTGTTTGAATTGATCGTAACACTTGCCGGTAGAGGCGCATCCTACTCCGGCGGCACTCGCGCGACATCTGTCGCTGCCCGTACGGTTTCGTGCGAAACCGTTTGTTCGTGCCGTGCGCATGCCTGTTGTTAAGCCACGTTCCTATTGTATTTGCTATTGTCGGCCCATCGTAAACCGCGACCGCAAACGATTCTTACGGAGTTGAAATGCCGCTGTTTTCCCCCGTAACCAATTTCCAGCACGCATGCGCCCTTAAGTAAATCCTTCGTGAACGTAGCCTTGATGCTCCGTACTCAAGAGCGCATGCGTACACATGTTTGACTTTGTATCGAAAACTAGCCGCTCACAGTTTTCTTTTCTCTCGGCATTCTTCAATTTTTGCATTTTCCAATCTTTCTTCACTCTTGTTTATATCTTATAAATAACGATTTTCATCGGTTTGATGTTTAGGTGAATCCTTGGAATATGGTTTCTATTGAACCATGGCATTTGATAGCTGTTATCCACAGGGATACGAAACTCGCACTCAAAGTATGTATAGAGTTCGAATGTTCCCACAGATATCACTTGTGATTTTTTAAAACAAAGGACCACGCATGCGCGCGTAGAAGTGATTTTCGAAAAAAGCGCGAGCTTCATCTTTAAAAGAATATATGCCATGCTTGTTAAATGATATTTGTAGTTTTGTTTGTCTTCTGAAAGAAATGAATCTTAAGATGAATCAACAATTGTACGAAGATAATGGTTACATGGTGCGATCTTAGAAGATTAGACCACAAATATTTGAATGTGGATAAATGTATCTTTACAACCTCTAATTAAATTAATATAAACTTGCCTTGTATAATACATTAGTCATTTTAATTGCATTTTTTTTATTAGAGTTGACAAGTACGAAATTCTTCAATTACGTAGTTAGTTAATTATAAATATTCTTTTTTAAAAACCACTAAATTCGTTTCAAGTGATTTTCTTTATTCATATACATTACAAATCAAATAAATCCTGTAACATGTAGCAATATAAATGTGGTATTAAATGAATAGAAATTTGTTCTTTCTACCGTGGATAATACCATAATTGTCTGGAATGATTTTCATCCCCAATTATTTTCTAAGAATAAGATCAATTATTAACGCTGGTTCAATTTTCTTGCTTTACAAATACAAACAAACAAGTATTTGAAATACCTTCCTAGCTTAAGTAACAGATATGTACATCAACGTTTGTGTAAAATTTTGTGTAAAATCTCAAAATGTGTAAAATCTTTGGACAACTTTTGCATGCTTTTCAACAGTAAATCGATATAAGCAAGAGATAGGCATATCAATTTTAAAAAGGACAACGCTTTACGTATACAAGACAAAGTTTATGTACTTTATGTGCCTGTATCTTGGATATATGTACTCTATGACAGCAAAAAGCGCGCGAGATCAACAGTGCTACCAACTTGAAAAAACGCTTTTTTGTTAAAATGAGACTTTGAAAATTTTAATATTTTTTGTAGTCCGAGAAAAAACAAAAACCACAAATTTTTTTAAAACATATTGTAGAGATAATTTTATATCTACATAGTCTACAACTTAAACAAATAATTGTTGTTTTTTTTATAATCCTTGTATTATTTTGAAAATATTTTATATATGCAATTTTGTATGTATGTATGTGTATATTTATATATCTGCTTCGAATAACTCACTATCGTGGATCCGTGCGTGAACGTAATATTCACTTTTGTTTTTTTGATTAGAATTCGCCATTCTAAAAAAACGTTAGGGAATTTCACGATCGGAAGATAGCAGCACTTGCTGTGAGCAGAAAAGGATAGAAAAGGAACGAATTTCGTATTGTGCGAATTACTGCACGAAACTACCGACACAACGGCCGGTTCGTTGTTCGTTCCGTGGTTCCTTTCATCTTTTGTAATCTGCTTCGAATTCGAAAGGTAAGTCTTGCACTTAAAACGGACATAATTCTGCGTTTCCATTCAAACAATATCAATTAACGCTTTCCCTCAAAAGCAGTCATATTTCGATTTCTTTATAATTTTCCACACATTTATAACCCCGGAAATCGTTGCTTTTTTTCATCTATCCCATGTGCACGCAATTTTTATGCCCCGAAAGACATCGAATTAATGCAACAGTGTTTGCCGATCTCCGCATCTTTATACTTCGTAATTAATAACAAAGCGTACAATTCGCCGCGAGCACATTGAGAACAATACAATCGAATTAACCGGACAATAAAAAAATCAGTAATATCCTCCGCTCTTTTACCACCGATCTCTGTATGACCCAACGAATAACCTTTCTCCGTCGCAAGTATGGTGACTTTCAAATGTCAGTTTAATGTCGCGTTAAAAATTTCGGCGAAATCACAAGACATTCGTGAGAAATATGCGTTTTTCAACTTCTAAAATGATTATCTTATACCGCACGCGTGCACGCTACCGAGATTCAAGGATATTCGCTGATGCACGCAAGGACAGAGGTTGAAATGGCAACGTGCAACCGAATTCCGACACACTTGCCGAATTATTGTTTCAGTGTTTTCATGCTATTCGTTCCTATATAAAATTCGTTCTGATTATTTTTTTTTCTCCATTCTTTTCTCATGTACATACATACGTTCATAACTTTAGTCGCTTTATTCTGTAAATTCTTTCGTTCGTCACGTTCTCTAAATCGTGTCTGACAAGAACAAATACATTTTAATTCGGTTACCGTTAAAACCGAGAACTTTATTGTTATTATTTTTACTTAATTTAAAAATAAAATTATTGATTTGAATAGCGAACTGAATGAAATAAAATTTATACAAATTAAACAAATTTTAGATTTCTCAATTTAAATTGCATTCAATATCAAATAAAATTCTAATATAGTACTTTTATTTGTGACTACCCTTAATAGTTAAAAAACTTTGTTCTTCCCTTATACTATCCATGAAAGGTTCAGTTCTAAGAGCGAAACAAATCTGAATTGTAGTACTATGACAACTGATACAAAACGCGCTGGTGATAACAGTGATATGGAATCTGTTGAAGATGAAGATGATAATGAAACCACAGAGATTCCTACAGACTTGTTAGCTGCTCTGCGAGGTCGTATCTCTGCACCAGGGATAGAGGTATTCAAATATCGTGTGAACTATAAAAATACATTTTTATAATACAGAGACTAGGTAGTTAAATTTCCGGGTTGTAATAAGATGAAAACAATAAAATAGTTTGTTACTTTCTAATATATGTAATTTTTGTTCAACTTTATAGTCAGTACTTCGGTGATCAGTATACTGCTTCTCTTCAGTAATTATTGACCACAGATTTTTAAAATCTTAATATTAAAAAATTCCATACACATCTCATTAGAAATATCATTAGGTATATTTTATCATTTGTGGAATTCTCAGTTAACATACCTTGCTTACTATATCAATATTAATTTAATAATGTAAAAACTTCTTTTGCGTTGTATTATTGTCTATTTAGCTGTTAGTATCATGCACTTCATTAGATTAGTTTGTGATTCGTAGAATTACGAGTGCATTATATGTTGCTTACTCAATCAAAATGAAAAAATGTACATTTTCCAAATTGTTACCCAAGTCACAAAAAAATCATTATCAAACTCTGCTTTTATTTTTTCTTAGGTTTAGATTTTTTAACTTCAAGAATAGAAAATCTATTAAATACTTAGACATTATATTAAATTCTGTAATGAAAATTTTATTTTATGTAATGTTTTTAATTTTTAGCAAATGCAGTCTCTTCCAGCAACAGTAAAACGCAGAATCAAAGCTTTAAAAAAGTTGCAAGTTCTTACAACAAATATTGAAGCGAAGTTCTATGAGGAGGTACATGCTCTAGAATGTGCTTATCACAAAATGTGTATTCCTCTTTATGACATGAGGAAAGAAATAATATCGGGCGATTATGAACCAACGGATGAACAATGCGAATGGGAAAGTGATGAGGATGAAGAAGCATTAGCTAATGATATGAAAACAAAAGCGAATCTCGAAGAAGATAAAGAGCAAAAGAAAGAAGAGTATGCTTTTTTTATTTCTATTTAGCATTACGTTCGTTCTATTATTTATTTCATGTTTCTTTTCAATATTTTCACTCAAGTTCACTCACTAGATATATTCACACTTCATTTAATTTGTTCAGTTTCGTCTTATAAAGAATAAGTACTTGAAGAACACATTTAAAGGAGTATAAATGACATAATTAGTGAGAATGTTTTTTATTTAATGATCGTTTACCATTTTAGAAGCGAGAAAGAAGACGTTAAAGGCATCCCCGAATTTTGGTTGACAATATTTAAAAATGTTGCACCACTGGCTGACATGGTTCAGGAGCACGATGAACCGATATTAAAACATTTGTATGATATTAAAGTTAAATTCTTTGAATCTAATCCAATGGTAAGTTGTATACTGCAGGAAAATATTGAATTCTGATATGATTATATAATAATTGTATAAATGACACAATCAGTGATAATGTAGATTGTGGAAATTTATTGAATTGAAAGATAATGAGTTTTTTTGTAGGGCTTTATTCTTGAGTTCTATTTTGAATCAAATGAATATTTCACCAACACTACTCTAACTAAAGAATACATTATGAAATGTACTCCTGATGCAAATGATCCATTCAGTTTTGAAGGTCCTGAAATCTACAAGTGTAAGGTGAGTGTTTTCAATTTGCCAAACGTTAGTTAGGTCAACATAATTATGCTTACATCAACATAATTATATTACAAAATTAGTAGGTCAACATAATCAGTATAATCATTAACGTAATCAAAAGGCGATATAGATTCTGTGGCACTATAGAGTTCAACATAAGAAACATTTTTCTCTTTTTTCTGAGTGTGTGAAAAAATCTCTAACAAACTCTGTATCTTTTTCTAATAGGGATGTGTAATTAACTGGAAAAAGGGAAAGAATGTTACTGTCAAAACAATTAAGAAAAATCAGAAACATAAATCCTTAGGATCCGTACGAACTGTAACAAAAACCGTTCAAAACGATTCTTTCTTCAACTTTTTCAGTCCACCAGTTGGTAAGAGCAAGCAATACTTCCCCTTCTTTTTAATACTAATCTACAATATAGAGTTTACATTAATGTAATTCATTATTATTGATTCTAGTGCCAGATGATACGGAAACAGAATTAGATGAAGAAACACAAGCTTTATTGGCAAGTGATTTTGAAATTGGTCATTATATTAGAGAACGTATAGTTCCTAGAGCCGTACTATACTATACAGGTACTTCTTATTTTAAAATGTTCACATGTGTTATATAAATTTTTGTTAAGTAATAAAATTTTTATAAAAATTTGTATCTTATTTTAGGAGAAGCCTTGGAAGATGAAGATGAAGATTACGAAGAAGAGGAAGGTGATGAGGATGATCCCGACGAGGAGAATGAAGATGACGAGGAGTTCTCACTAACCAATGCGCCATCAGGTGGGAAACAACAAGGCAATGACCTTTCCGAGTGTAAAACACAGTAGAATACTCTAACAAATTCAAAATAAGAAAAAGATCGTTCGTGCGTATAGTAAGAAAACAAAAAGAAAAAAGCAAAAAGAAACACTAACAAAACCTGACCGATAACTGCCTAGATATCCTGCACCTGTGGTTCCAAAGTAATCCCTGTTTGTATCAGTCATCTAATCATATCATATTTCCTATTCCAGATCAAGCTTAAAACTCTTCAACATACCAATGACAAAATTATGCGTACCCTCCCTTTATCCAACATTGACGGTGAAAAGAAATACGGCTTATTGACAGCTATGATTGTCGTATAGATATATACAAACAAACAAAAAACAAACGAAATGCGCTCTCAGCTCTATACAAATAATCATTGTCATTTTTAATTGCTTCATTTTATACTATATTGTTACGTTTATATACGAAGAAGATAGTTGAATTTTTTTCAAAACGCACGTTGACTTATGGATAAATTTTTCGGTACTGTTAAAGCATTTTTAATATAAAACTTGTGAAAACTGGAGATAGCTCTTTGTTGTTATTTCCTCGATCTACTCTCACGCAAAGATATTGTAATGTTTTCCTTTAATACTATTTTCAATCTTTTCGTTAAATCCCGTATACTGGTAAAGAGAAGGAATTAGTCATTTCGCAAATGTGTGTACATAATAATTTTCTGGTTCACATTTACATGTTTTAGTAATTTTATGTAAGTTCGTACATGTAGGTAAGTACCAAATTCGTATATACGTTATTTTTGTAAAAATTAATATTTTGTACCCTTTGGAGTTCAAGGGGAAACTATCAAATTGTAAATTTGAACAAAAAATAAAGAGTATTTTTGCTATTTCATAAAGAAAAATATTTCGGTATTAAGTTTAATATTTATTTAGTTGTGTCCGAGTGCTTTATCAATTTTACAATTAATATTGGGAGAAATATAAAAACTGGAAGATTCAAATAGCAGTCATCATAACCGCCAAATTTTTGAATTGTTTTTCTTCATGCGAAACGCTCGTTTGAGCGACATCTTTAAAAAATCATCCGGTCAGTGCCACTTGACGCGCCTTTCTGTTTTCCATTATTTGATAACAACTACGCGTGACTGATAATGCAAAACAGGGTGTTGCACTACATTGATAATTAGCTTTTCGTGAGGAGAGGTTTAGAAATACAGGAACAATTTTCCATCGTGTCAACATGACACAGAGGAGTCAAGGAATTTTGAAACAGTTCCACAATTGTCGGATTGTACGTAATGGCAAAATCTGGCTCGAGGACCTATGGGTACGCGATGGCAAAATCGTCGATCCGGAAAAAATCTTCTTCGACGAAAAAATAAAACCGGATATTCGAATTGACTGTGACGGAGCAATAATTTCACCTGGATATATTGATCTTCAAATTAATGGTATTTGATGCAAGTACATCACAATATTTTATAAGTTTTTCAATTCAAATTTAACAAATTCAAATTGTAAAAACTTAATTTTGTTACATTTGTATTGTCAAGAAAAAAGAAATTTGAAATGTGCAATCCTTTTTTACTCAGGTGGCTTCGGTGTAGATTTCACACACAATGTCGACACAGTACAAGAAGGACTAGATAAGGTATCAAAAAAATTATTGGAATTTGGTGTGACATCGTTTTGTCCAACACTGGTAACATCACCCAGTAAGACGTATCATGAAATACTGCCAAAAATGAAGAGGAAAAATGGTGGAATGCAAGGAGCATCTATTTTGGGTATTCACTTGGAAGGACCATTTATTAGTCCTTTGAAAAAAGGTGCTCATCCAGAAAATTATATTAAAACCTTAGAAAAGGCAAGTTTTTTCGAATTTTTTTTTTTAGCAAATATAGTTACTTATTTTTTGATTACAGACTTATTATGTATTTAGATTTAAACATACTAGTTTGTATTTTAGGGTTTCGAGTCCTTACTCAATATGTATGGAACTTTAGAGAATGTATCCCTGGTTACTTTGGCTCCAGAACTTCCCAATGTTCAAAGCGTCATTGAAGAATTATGTAAACAGAACATTAGGGTTTCTCTTGGTGAGACAGTTTATTGTTGCTAATGTTATTATTACTATTAAAAAATGAAAAATTACAGGACACTCTGTAGGCAACTTACATGAAGGTGAAGCTGCTGTGAAAAGTGGGGCTTCGTTTATCACCCATCTTTTCAATGCAATGTTACCGGTAATTATACCGTACAAATTAAGATCAATTATTTTCTACAAATTGAACAAACGACATAAAAGTCATAAATTTGAAATTTGTGTTTACAGTTCCATCATAGAGATCCAGGGCTAGTTGGACTTCTAACTTCCAACAAAATTCCAGAAGGAAGGAACATTCATTATGGTATAATCGCGGATGGTATTCATACTCATCCTGCCGCATTGCGTATAGCTCATAGGACACACCCAGAAGGTTGTGTTTTTTTTCAATATTGTGGAACCTTTTTTTGTATCTTATGGTTATAATTTATTCCACTTTTTTAGGACTTGTTTTGGTAACTGACGCAATATCAGCACTAGGATTAGAGGAAGGCATACACCAGTTAGGGCAATTAGATATAGAAATGCGGGCAGGTCGGGCATACATCGCTGGAACAAATACTTTATGCGGTAGTACGGCAGAGATGTCGAAATGTGTTCGTCTCTTCAAAGAAGCAACGGGTACTTCAACGTTCGTCTAACATATTTTTATAATATATATAAATACGTTATAACATGTTTTTATCTATTTTTGTAGACTGTTCGATAGTGGAGGCTTTGGAAGCTGCGACTCTTCACCCAGCAAGGACTCTTGGCATTGAGAAAACAAAAGGAGTCTTGAACTATGGTGCAGACGCAGATTTAGTATTGTTAGACGACAATTTGGACCTACTGTCTACGTGGATATCCGGTGAATGCGTTTACAAAAGTAAGTGTTTCGAAAATGGTCAGTAATACGGAGTGTGATTGTATCCATTTCAAATGCCTACATCAAAATACGTATTTTATATAAAAGAAGAATGGCTGTGAATATTGCTCTAGCCATAAAAGTATTCATCTACTTATTTGTATACCGTAATCACGTCCAATTTTATATACAAACTAAAAGATATATTTTATATATTTCATACTTCCGAAGATATTGTTAATCCGCAGGATTTTCGTATCACTTATAGTCTGGTGCTAATATAATTGACAAAGTACTTTAGCATAAATATCAGTCACTTTTTTCTACTTATATACACATATATGAACTTATATACATATATAAAAGAACAATGTTTCTTAGTTCTATTGTATTGAATGATAAAAAAGGCTCGATTGTTGATCAATAAACTAACGTTTATTTTATAAGCTGAAGCTTTTTCATATGCGAGACTTCCAGAATGTCCTATCATTTTCCCAAGTAATCAATGGTTTATTGAACACAATAAATATATGTACATGTTACACGAAAATGCAAATTTTATTACAAAAGTTACATAAGTTATTTGTCATATTTTTATGTTGTGAAACATAGTACGTACATACAGTAAAAAGGACAATCGTTAGTACTCGTACTAACACAATTATTACAGTTTATAGCACACAGTCATATTACTGAACTGTTTTGCATGAAAGTACAAACGTCGTTTCAATAGCATATTTAATTAGTTAGCAGCGTCAAGTTTTGCAATCAGTTTTGCAAAGCGTTAAAGGGAAATGATTGCTCGCGCGTAAAATCGCCGCTTTTAGAATGAGATATTATTTACTGTTACGTCGATGCTATGCGATTCTTTATCTCAGAATAGGATAATGACGAACATCGGCTCCAGTAAGACACTTATGTTAATAAACAACGTCCTTCAGGTTGCATATGTATGGTGAGTGTCTAATGCCAAATGAATGTGCCGGAGGAATATCAAGAACTACCTGCAAACGACAATTTCCGTGAATTTTAAACAACTTTCTGAAACTCAACAATAAAAAAGAAAATAAAAAGAATTTCGTAGAGTTTTAATGAAATAACAAGAAGATTGAAAAGGGTGATATATGTATAAAAAGATGAAAGTTTTTAGATCAGTAGAAAATATTTTCGGAAGGCTGTCCACGATTGTCTATGCTGTAGAGAAATTGTTAATACTTTTTCCGGACAATGTGCTCCGGGTCCTGGGATTTGCGAATGATCGTCAGGCAACTGAAATCGAGCGCTCATGCTGTAAGCGGGACTTTTCACTCTAACAGCGTCCGGTTTCACGGCTTCATAGGTGCCAGGTCCGGGGACCAAAACTCTATCGTCGGTGAACACTTTCTGCCTACCAGAAATCGAATAAGCTGGTGCTGTTTTTTTGTTTCCCTCCTTCGTCCCACCGAGTGTGGATGGAATGTTATAAACGTTTGGGGCTGGAACAGATTAGAGAAGAGGAAACATAATTCTAAGAAATCGTTACAGCATCACCTAAATTTACTTCTACGCTATAGAAGTAAAAAAATGTATTAAAAAATTATATTAAAAACTGTTTCAAATGAAATAGTTTCCAAGTCAAATTAGGTGGCAGTTAAACGACTCTCCTTGTATAAGTTAACGAAACAGAGTCTGATATTCCCAGAGACTGTATTGATGGTATACAGCAAAACGATGTCAAAGAAGCAGTACCTGGAATATCGTTTGGTCTGTCTACGTTCGTCCTAAAACCAAATGTAAACCGCAATGCTTTTTCCAACAAAAGCATAGCTTTTTCTGGACTGTACTCGCCTGGACCTTTAAACGAGGTATACTTATTGAATGCCACAAGAAGATACGAGAAAATAAGTTCTAGAGTGTCTGTATCTATACCTGGTGTCGAATTATTTTCATGTACACTAGTCCTGAGTCCAAAGCTGTACTGTGGAGATTTGTTTAGGTTTACCTTTTCTGGGTGATAACTTCCAGGTGCTGCATTCAATACAAAAATGTTTTACACTTACTGAATGGACACCTCATTTCATACTAGATTAACAATGATAAAGATTTAAAAAAATATTTATTACCTGGAAGATTATTGGGTTTCTCGACGTATGCCTTCACGCCAAACGAATACTCTGGAGACTTATCTAAATTGACTTTTTCTGGAGAATAAGTGCCAGGAGCTACAAAATTAAAGACACAATGCTAATATGTTGTCAATGTCTTTAATTTGCATAATTGTATCTGAATCTAAGTGAAAGACATGTTCATAGTAAAACTGTTATGTGTAAGAGGTGCAGGGAATAGAAGCAAAGAAGAAATCTAGAAGGCTAGAGTATCCTCTTTTAACACACTTGAAAAGCATTACGTGTTCTAATTAGGGCTTGTACTACTTCTCGAATGAGGTTTCTTAGCGTTCCTGAGACATCTTCATAAAGCAAAAAAATCTCCGAGTAGTAAAGACTCTAATTGTTATCGACGGCTGCACCAACGTTAAATAGATGATAAGCTCTAAAGGGAACGTCGTTAGTTGGTTATTAATCCACACCATTACCTGGCGTATCCCTAGGTATATCCAATGGTTTTCTGTTACCAAAACTGAAATAAGGTTTATGTTCCAGATTTACTATTTTCTCTGGATAGTAATCAGCAGGGCCTACCAAGGCAATCAAAACATTAGTATTCGAGTATACCAACTGTTAAACCTATACCAACTGAATTTTCCAAAGTAACAAGCTCCAGCAACAGTTCAAATCAATTCACCTGGATTGTTATTGGGCTTTTCTGGCGACCCTTTCCCGGATAGGCTATATTGGGGTCCTTTATTTAGATTTACTTTCTCAGGACTATACGTTCCTGGGGCTACAATAATTAATATAATGTTAATTCATTTAGTATCTTCATGTTTGTTACGTTACTTACCTGGATTATCATTGATTTTTTCAGGCGATCCTTTGCCAGATAAACTGTACTCAGGACCTCTGTCCAAATTTACTTTCTCAGGACTGTATGTCCCTGGTGCTATAGCAACAGGTGCAATACTCATATAAATTAGTATACTCTACGATAAACCTTCATATATCTTATGATAACTACCTGGATTATCATTGAACTTATCCGGTGATCCTTTGCCAGATAAACTATACTGAGGGCCTCGATCCAAATTTACCTTCTCAGGGCTGTATGTGCCAGGTGCTGCCATAACAAGTATGATATGTATATAAATATTATCCGCTACGGGAATTATTATTATTTATCTTTTTTACTAGTCACCTGGATTTTCGTTCGGTTTTTCTGGCTTCCCCTTCCCAGACAAACTGTATTGTGGACCTCTATTTAGGTTTACTTTCTCGGGACTGTAAGTTCCTGGTGCTGAGATACACAGAAGAAGATCAAATTTCGCTTACTGTAGAAATTACAAATATTTTATACCAACCTGGAGTATCACTTGGTTTCTCAGAGGGTCCTTTACCACTCAAACTATACTCCGGACCCTTATGTAAATTTACTTTCTCAGGGCTATAAGCTCCTGGTGCTAAGGTACAAAAAGTAAAAGTAAAATAAGAACAAAATTTTGTGTACCGCGGAGACGAAAGATTTCTCATACCAACCTGGGGTGTCACTTAGTTTCTCAGATGGGCCCTTACCACTCAAACTATACTCCGGACCCTTATGTAAATTTACTTTCTCGGGGCTATAAGTTCCTGGTGCTAAGGTACAAAAAGTAAAAGTAAAATAAGAACAAAATTTTGTGTACCGCGGAGACGAAAGATTTCTCATACCAACCTGGGGTGTCACTTAGTTTCTCAGATGGGCCCTTACCACTCAAACTATACTCCGGACCCTTATGTAAATTTACTTTCTCGGGGCTATAAGTTCCTGGTGCTAAGATACAAAGAAAGTAAAAGTAAAATAAGAACAAAATTTTGTGTACCGCGGAGACGAAAGATTTCTCATACCAACCTGGGGTGTCACTTAGTTTCTCAGATGGGCCCTTACCACTTAAACTATATTCCGGACCCTTATTTAAGTTCACTCTTTCCGGACAGTAATCCCCGGGTGCTAGAAAAAGTCCCGCATTTATTTCTATATTAATGAAAACAGTTTTTTTTTTATTTTATCATATAGTTCTTTACCTGGATTGCTGTTCGGTTTGTCGAGCGAAGTTCTCAGTCCAAAACTATACTCAGGCGATTTGTTAAGATTTACCTTCTCAGGGGAGTATGCTCCAGGTGCTGTAAGTCGTTGTAAATTAAATAAGATCTCCGTTTCACCTCGACTGTATTGCAATACAGAGGACTACAAACCTGGTGTGTCATCCGGTTTCTCATGCGCAGCCTTACCGCTTAAGCTGTACTGCGGACCCCTGTCTAAGTTAATCTTCTCTGGACTGTAAGCGCCAGGAGCTGCGAAAATACACGGATCTGTCAGCTGCTCCCCAGAAAATAGCACATCTGTCGAACGATCATCTCACCTGGAGTGTCGTTCACCTTCTCGAGCGACGTTCTGAGTCCAAACGTAAACTGCGGCGCGCTGTCCAGCTTCACTTTTTCGGGGCAATACGTACCTGGTGCTGAGAATAATTATGTCTCTATTAAGTTCGATCGATTCGGTCTTTTTCAAGAGCAGATGCTATAAGGAAAAGACTCGCGTACCAGGTGTGTCGTGGGCTTTCTCCGCGCGTCCTTTACCCGCGAGGCTGTATTGAGGACCTTTGTTCAAGTTCACCTTCTCCGGGCTGTAGGTGCCAGGCGCTACAAAAATCAACATGCAAGAATAACTATTTGTGCACGCGATTCCATAGAACGTTTTGTTTGACGCAAACACGTTTCGTTGATACCATCACATTGACTGATAGACTGATCGATGTGTAGATGGACGGATTGATCGATGATTGATCGATTGATTTGTAGGTGAATAGATGAAAAGATGGATATGTGTGGGTCATATATGAACATGAAAGTATTTCCAAAGATATTGTCATAATACAGAAAAATGTTTCAGACACACAAAAGTTGCATGGTATCAATAACTCGTAAACAAAGCCGCGGATTGCATTTTCGCAAAGGAACAAGTTACTTAGAATGACCTCAGCTATCCCCCCCCCCCATTTCCGTAATACGAGACATTTTTGGGACACTCGATATGTAGATAGAAAAAAGCAGCCTGTTTGTAGCACACATTTGTATGGAAGAATAACAAAGACGGTACGGGGATAAGACAAAGGAAATAACTTTTTGTGACGAAAACGTTTTGTCGCTTCGTTGACCAGAGTCCAGCCGAAAGTGTCAAAAGTAAGCAGAACGGAATGTTTACGTTTCGTGTTCCCGTCGGAAATTTCAACGTGTTCTCAGAATCCTGTTCAATGGTCTCTGACAAATCAGACCTTGACGACGTAGAGTGATTGGTAAATAAGTTCGAACAGTCTGTTATTCGGTTTTTGTAATATCGTTGACACAGGAGTCGCGTTCGTGTGTCGTATTTCGGTATCAAAAAATGCGCGGAATATCGAGCTCTTCGATTGCTTTCGCGTCGAGAGCCTTTCGAGCGACGCTTTGGTCGGCGAAGCGCTAATTCAGCAAATAATTGAAATGATTACCTGGGGTGTCATTCGGCTTCTCGAGAGCAGGCCTCAGCCCGAAGCTGAATTGCGGAGCGTTGTCCAGTCTTACCTTTTCCGGGCAATAAGCTCCAGGCGCTGTGTACCAGAGTAAATATTTAGAAATGTTAACCGCCCGTTCCCCGTTGAGCCATCAATAACTTCCGTTAGAAATTTCGAAAAATAACTAGAGACTACTGCGCTACTCTTAACCGAATAATTCGAAACAGAAATTATTTCTGGCTGAAATTGACAATAGTGTATCATTGAGAGTAGATTACGCCGATACTCTCTGTTTACAGTGAACAAATTCTTAGTAAGCGTAACGCATGCGATCCAAACGTTTCGGTTCATGCACTGTTGATCGAAACGGTACTACCTACAAGATTATTAATAGTCTACATCAAAGAGGAAGTCTCGAACAGCGAGCAAGAAGAATTAATAGTTTATCAAGCTGCGAAATGAAACAGGTAGCCGATGAAAAGGTTGCAAAACTGCGCAAAAGTAGTAGGTATCTACCGGAGATCATTCTCAAAATCATAACGAAATTAACATTCGAATACCTAAAGCGCTTAACGAGGCTTTATTCCTCGTTTGTTCATCTTAGCTCATCGATCTTCCCAAGACGCCAATTTCATAGCTTCTGCCGTAACGACTTAACAATTTCTTTTTAAGAATTTACTTCGAGTTTAACCTGCGGTTAGAGAAGAAACAAGTTGAGTCGTTCTTAATTTCCTCTGATTAGCACGCAGCACTAGAATCAACGGTGATCTGTCAGTTCGTTCGATCAAACGATCACATGCGAACATACAGTATGTCCCAAAAATGTCTCGTAATCCGCAAATGGCGAGTGCCTCGGATCATTTGAAGCAGCTTCTTCCTTTACGAAAATTTTCTCCGAGGCACCGTTGACGAGTTATTAACGAAAAACAGTGACCAATAAGAATCGAGTACGGCTGACGCGAGGCGGCCCAGCGCACGAAGCCCAGTTCCGCTCATTGGCTCGGTCGCCTCTCGCCAGCCGAGCTCGCCTCTCATTGGTCACTGTTTTTCGTTAATAACTCGCTAATGGTTGTCCGGAGGGAATTTTTGCATAGGAAAAAGTTGCTTCGAATGACCCGAGGAACCCGCCACTTTCGGATTGCGAGACATTTTTGGGACACCCTGTACATTTGTCTCGATTCGATAGGTCTAGTATTAATATCGAAAGAATATTATAATGCCGTTTATTTGTTAAAATTATCAGCGATTTCAAGTAGCAAATTCGTGTTTCGCTTTCGATTGCAATTAGTATGTTTAACCAAAAACTTGTCAATTAGCGTTCCGAGGCGGAGGGGTTTGCGCTAGGCTTTATGATTTGTAATTACCAGGAGCATCGTTCGGTTTCTCCAACTGCGGCTTTAAGCCGAAACTATACTCGGGGGTTTTGTCGAGATTCACTTTTTCGGTGCAATAGTCGCTCGGTGCTACGATCAAGATGCAATTAGATTAATTCCGACAAGTTCGCAGCACTTGTCGCAAGCTGGATTTCTCTTTGAATTTGTACTATTTTCGTGACGGAAGTCCGATGTACATTGTAGAATCGAACGAGACGCTTACCAGGTGTGCAGCTAACTTTTTCGGTTTGCGTTTTAATGCCGAAAGAGTACTTCGGCGAGCTGTCCAGAATGATCTTCTCCGCTTTTTCTGGATTGTAATCGCCAGGCGCCGGCGTCGTCTCCTGCCGCGATGACTTGCTGCGGCCGTGCAACGACGATGCAGGCGCTGCATCCTTCCCTTGAAATTCATAGCAGTCGAACATGAAATCAGACTCGTGGCATTTTCAAGCAACCGCGCAGATTCCAATGAACTGCTACGAATTTTTCTGAATTTCTGACCATCGAAGCAACCACCGATTGGATCGTGAACTTTGATGAAAATGCAAATTCAAGTTCGTTTCAAATCTTTCATATGAATTCAATGAAACTCTTTTCATCCGAACAATTTAATAATTAGGAAAATATAGCAAGAGTGTCTAGCAAGAGTTCCGATCGCTCCGAAGTCAAATAACGGGGATGAAAAAATTCTGTCGACGTGATATCGCACAAATTATCGGCCCCGAGGGCGAAGGAATTTCGTGAATGACGTCCATTAAAAGAGGCCTACGCTGTTGCGAAATATCGCTGCTCCGTTAGTTTGATCGATACATCTGTGCTTCTGTACGCTGAATAGCGACGCTCGCAATATCATCGCTCCGACCGAGTTACACTTTCAGAGGACACTGTTCTGCAAACGTAGCGATCCCCTGATAGACTTATTAGATCGATGAATAGCCTCTCGAATCGACAGATTCTTAGACTGACCCGACGGATAGAAACGTTACATTTGTTGATAGATTGACATTATATCGAGCAGTGGATCGAAAAGTAGATTCGCGAATTTATCGAAACGAATAGCAAACTCTTTTCCGAAATTCGTCCAATTGTTCTGCAATCCTCGAAGATCGAATAGCCGCGAAGTGAGAGAAACACGCGAGAAATTACCTTTCGCGCTGAGCCCGGAAACGTTGTATTGTCCGGGACCTGGTCCAGGGCTGTCGTTTTTGGCAGAATGCCTTCGAATTATTATAAAAATAGATATTAGTACGTTACACGATCGATTTCTACGATAGCTTCTGCTACCTGCTTCCGAAAGAGAAGGCCGGAGCTCTGCCTCGCTTCGAGTCGGGAACGGTCTTTCCTGAAAGCTCAATTGTCAATATTCATCTCTCGAGCTTGGCGATGCTAAGGAAATCGAACAATCGTAAATACCAATCAATGGTGGCAGGGTGACACAGGCTGGACCAGGACTGGTGTATTCTGCCGCGATGGGACCTCGTCTTTTCGTTGGTGTCCAGGGCCTCTGCGTTATACCGCCCATTCTCCTCGCAATAAGTTATCGTTTTCTGAATCGGAGAAGCAGTAACAAAATAGCATATCAAATTTGCAGCCTTTAAGATAGAACAGAGCATGACTTTTGCACTAAATAAATAAATAAATATAGAAAAGAATGAAGATAATCTAGCAAGGGGTGGAAATGGGTTCAGATTCAAGAGAAGCAATAACAAAGTAACATATCAAATTTGCAGCCTTTAAGCTAGGACAGAGCATGACTTTTACATTAAATAAATAAATTAATAAATCGTTTACAATAAATAAATAAATAAATATCGAAGAGAATCAAGATAATAATCTAGCAAGGGGTGGAAATGGGTTCAGATTCAAGAGAAGCACAATAACAAAATAACATATCAAATTTGCAGCCTTTAAGCTAGGACAGAGCATAACTTTTACACTAAATAAATAAATAAATAAATCGTTTACAATAAATAAATAAATATCGAAAAGAATGAAGATAATCTAGCAAGGGGTGGAAATGGGTTCAGATTCAAGAGAAGCACAATAACAAAATAACATATCAAATTTGCAGCCTTTAAGCTAGGACAGAGCATAACTTTTACACTAAATAAATAAATAAATAAATCGTTTACAATAAATAAATAAATATCGAAAAGAATGAAGATAATCTAGCAAGGGGTGGAAATGGGTTCAGATTCAAGAGAAGCAATAACAAAGTAACATATCAATTTTGCAGCCTTTAAGCTAGGACAGAGCATGACTTTTACACTAAATAAATAAATAAATAAATCGTGTACAATAAATAAATAAATATCGAAAAGAATGAAGATAATAATCTAGCAAGGGGTGGAAATGGGTTCAGATTCGACAGGTTCATCGCACCATTAATATGATATCTCTGTCGACGCCTGAATCTCCATCGAAAGCCAATCGAGTCCATTTCAATTGGCTCTTGATCCGGTACGATCGATCCAATCGATTAACGATTTAATTAGCTCGAAAACGATCTTTTCCGACGATCGATTTGCCGACCGAACCGGCAGTTTCTAAAACGAAACCGTGCCAGTTGTCCCCGGCTATTCCCGATCGACGCGAACATACGAGATAAAACACCGAATGGGAACCTCAAGGAGCTTGTCACGCTGTCCTTTTTCCCTTCGCGAGGTAGCAATGGGTGGCAGCAAGCTTTCCTCGGGATTGCGCAACTTCAGCGTCGGCCTTCGAAAGCCGGGCCACAGAAACCGACTCACGAAGTTCCATATAAGAGTATGTCCATGGTGGGTAGCCAGAAGTCGCCCACCATTCGGCATTGGACTGAATAAAACATGAATATCACAAATTGTACGGCGTTGAAAAACAACCCGAATAAATACGGCCCGAACGGGATGACTCACGGCCTACTTTTACAACGTTATGGTACCTTTGTACTCGCGTGTATCGCCATGATAATCATTGCATTTGGAGCGATCCTCGAGCCGGATCAGAGTTATGGTGATTTATGCGATTATCTCGCGACGATATCGCGCGCGAACGACTCTATGCCGCGTGCCTAATATCATCGCTGTGAATTTCGCGGCGACATCGTGGTGCATCCTCCTGTTTCTCCAGCAAATTGCCAGCAACATGTTGCCCTTGGTTATCGTCATTCCTAAACGTTTCGAATGATGCGATACGAATCTTTGCGCAGCCGTTGAATCCTGAGGAAAACCTTCGTAGAACTCGAACGGAATACAAATCGGATCTAAGAGTGAAGCCTCGAGTCTCAGTCGTTTGGTCCCCTCAGGTAGCGGTATCAATTTCCACGGATTAAAACCTGCTTGCCTCTGGCTCCTGTACATTTACACCAGACCAGAGCCAGACCGGCTCCAGACAGAAAGTCGACCGCGAATCAGTCAACTGACAGAAGCCGCTGGAAATGGGGATCGTAGCGATCCACCGGCAATTTCACGCGACCAGGTACCCGTTTCCTGTCCACGGATCGTTGCACCGACCGGTTGCGAAACGGCTCGAACAATAACGAGCAATCGCACGATCCCGATTTGCATAGGTGAAGATATTCATTTGCCGAATACGGCGAGGACGCAGGCCAGAGAACGGCCGGCGTGCACACACCGGCATGACCAAAACGAGTGCAAGAATGATTCGTGGAAGACGAAAATCGTCGCCTTTTAAGCTGCGCCGACGCGTTCCCCGCATCTTTTCCCGCCGATTTTACCCGAGGGAAATCCGTCGCCGTGGTATAAATCAGATCTCGAGGAATTGTATGTACCGTCGCGGGGAAAGCGTTTGCTTGCAGCGTGCGTGTTCATCGCGGCGAAACGTAGAAATTAGTGAATGCCAGTGTCTTTGGATATTTATTCTGCGGTGCATTATAAAGAGAAAGCGCGGCGATCGCGCTGTTAAGTCGGCTTAGCGCTGTTTAAATAACGATAATAATATCTTTTTCGTGTGTTCCAGTCGATCGATGAAAAGAGTACGAACGACTGAATTTCGAAAGTTGAAGAACTGGCGAGAAATTCGGTCGTATATAGCAAAACAAGTAAACAATGGAATCTGAAATTTCATTCATAGTGTAACGCGCTACCGTCATAGGTATTTCGGCATCGGTTACACCTTTACCGTAAAGAAGGGCGATGAGTAATTCTGTATAATGGATCTATCGCCGTAAACAAATATTATGTCACCGCGTACTCGGTGTCGTATCGCGTCGCGCGTCGGTCGGGATCGGAAAGACATAAATGGCAATTTATCTTACTTCGTCTATTATTGTTCGTAATAATTCGATGACTCACGGTGCCTTGTGGTTAACCCACTCGGATAATTCGATAACGCGGTGACACCGAAACTCTTTCAGGTGTCGCTGAAAGGTGCTCGGGTATTTGATTGATAACGCGGACGCGAGAATTACGAAATCACAAATTTTGCTAATCCTGTGGAACAGCGCGCAACGAGTCATTGAATCAATAATCGATGTGTCGTCGATTTCCGCGTTAATTGAAGCCGTACACTTTCGTCACACGATGACGCTTGTTCACCAGGCGAATAGTATTTTATTCGAATGATTCGTAGTAAATTTAAATAGAATCTTACGAATCGATTTATTCCTAATTCGATCGTCCTGTCAAGAATCCAAATGGGTTTCAAGCTTTAGTGGTATAAATTCGAATTGGAGTATTGGCGTAATCGAAACTTCATCCGAGCAATCGAATTTGAGTATTTAACCTGGGCACCGAAGTATGGAAGTAGTCAAGCTTGAATCTGACTACTAAAAGTAGTCGAACTTAAATCCAACTGCTGAAGTGTACGAAACTTGAACCTAAATCCTCGAGTAGCTTCAAATCTTGGTAATGAACTTGTTTGGTTTCTTTACGGATTACAAGTGACAATCGTATTCAAGTCCGTAGTATGTATGTTGAGTTGCGAAATATCAACGTTTTACGTTCTCAAACTTACGATAAATTAGTTTTTATCTTCGAGGAATGCCGTGAGTACATATTTAAGATGCAAGATTAAAGCATATCATTTTGCAGTTCGAATTATCGTTAAGTTCGAGATATTTTATACGTCATTTATACAATATAATTTCATTAATTAATTATTACTCTGTAATATGTAGTTAAAATATTATACCCGACTTATTCGGGAATATTATGGTCGTCACGAGTTCGTATTGAAAGATACACGAATGAAATGCGAATTGCACAAAATTCAACGAATAAGAAAATATCAGACAATTTTCGAATGAAAAAGGGTTTGTAGCATCTTTAAATCGTTTGCTTTAAAATACTTCTACGAATACTTCTGCATGCTATTGGATTTACAATTTATGTAAGTTCGAATCACCTGTGTATATTATGTAGCAGCTGTGCTCCCTTAAATGGTGCAAGGATGATGTGGAGGAGCAGCAAGGTAACTAATTGAATCACAGATTTAATCGTTCGAACTATTCGTGGAGCATTACGGAAACACCGACCACCTATAGATCTGCTCGCACCGAAGACGCGTTCCTGACTGAGGATCAAATCAGGCGGTAATCGCGCACAGTGCCGATCCGCGTCCCTCGATCCCCACTCTACGTAGATCCCGGCAGTGATTCAGAATGTCGACGCATGCGCAGCTCACCGTTATTCTAGGATAACGCTACCGTCCTGGGTTGGGCGCGTTTCAAAATTTTTTTGCGCAAATTGCGCAGGTTTCTTCTTTTAAACCTTTACACTCGAGTGGTGAATCTGAGGCACCAGTAAAAAAAATTATTACACCACGTTCCAAGATAATTTTTATAATATCAAAGAATATATAAAATATAAAGAATTGTTGAAAGTCTAACTGTTGTATGAGTCACAGTCAATTTACAGTTAATACGGCTTCGAATCTGAAGGGTTAATAGTGCTCTTACATTAGAATAACGTAACAATATTCGTAAATATCAATAATTTTTCGATGTATTCATTATCCTACATTTCTCATGTGAATGCACAGATTCCGCAATGTAATCACAGATCTGAATTGTTCAATTTTTCCATTGATTCACACCGGGTGAATGTGTATCCAATACCACTATTTATGGGGTTTGGTCAATATATTTGCAAAATTTGGATAAATGCAATCTTGTGTTCTTTTTTTCATAGATATAAAGCAGTCGATTCTACTGATGGATGGTTTCTACGCTAAGTGCCGAAAATAATTGTCCGTTCAAAATTGTCTTCGATGGAATACGTTTGAGAAGAGAGGCCTGCACAGGTGACGATACATCGGAGATGGTTATCGCGAACGTATCGCCTTGGCTCCCTTATTCGGAACTCTTGATTTCACAACCCACGCACCCCAACGATCTTGGTAGTGATCCTCGACACTGGACATTCGACCTTGCCGCGTCCTAAGCCCGGAGTAATAGCCAGCTAAAATTAGGGACTCACGTTCTCGCGCATAATGACGAGAAAGCGACTGCGAGGCCTGCTTCCGCTTCTGACCATGCTCTTAGATTTTTATAAATCCTAGGTAAAATCTTAATTTTAGCATTAAACCAAAGAGAATGCTGTCAGAAAATGCATCGAATGTACTTCCAATGTTACCATGTCCTTCTGATTAGCATTTTCAAAAAGTACATTTCTATATGTCCCTCGACCATCAAAAGATTAAAAACGGTGTAGTTTTTTGTTTGTAGTTTGAACGGATATGAAGACAGTACAAGAAAATTTTCAAGCTTGTAACAGTGACATTCTAAATAGGCATCTATTACCTTCGAATCCGCTAACGAGTAGTTTCCGACTTAGAGCACAAAGCAAGCTCGTTTTAAATGGACCAACACGAACATTTGTCCCCAATTGGATACAACATTTTCCACTAAAATGAAATGTACTTCGACGCGGGTAATATAAAATAATGCACTGCAGATTTATTTCTTTACAGTGAAATTTCATAACATGATTACATTACATCACATCCAACTGTATTCTACCGTATAAATTCGTTTTAGTCAGCTTTCTGGGAGCCATCCGATCCGCTATGCGTCAGTACAGCGAGGAGGACTCGTATTAATTCATCCAGTCACACTGTCGGGAGCGCAGCGGCGTTCCGAACACTGTCGGACATTTAATCGTGCCCCACTCTTGCCACGCTGACATCACGATGTGGAGAACCGGTCCGCAGAGCGGCTCATTGAGTCGTGAGATAACTTGAAATGTATAACCAAGTCGAATCGTTCCATTATCGAGTAGGAAGGTGATCGATGGTAAAATCCGAAATTTCTTGTCCGTCATTCCAGAGATTCTGTCGATCATATAGATCACTGAATATTTGCTAGATACGATCCGTGCAACAAGTTGATCGTGCACGTATCGATTTGATAGTATGTAATTAGAAATAATTTTGGATATTCTTCGCATTTCCTTTAACATTTCAATACAGGCGTTCCATTAATCCCGAGATTGTTTCACGACGATGAACTTGCCAAGCCGATTTGCAATTAGATATCATATCTAATCATCATCTAATCAATTATCTAATCATTATTTCAACGTTTCCTTCTGTTGGGATTATGGAATGAAAATGAATATGATTCTAATACTTTGCTTAAAAGGACTTTATTTTATTCCTTTATTGAGAGAAGGTATATGAGCGAAACCGATCGAGCGACCAAACTCTACTAAGTGTCTGGTAAGAAGAAACGCTTCTTTTACACCCTTTTTGGGTTCGTCGTGTCCACCAATCAGAGACGTTTTATTTGTCGCGTCTTACATTGTATACGTGACGGTCAGGGCACGATGTACATCAAAAGGTACCGGCTATGATGTATCGCGGCATCTAATATATATAGATTACGTCACCATCGCTGCCCGCTGACGGAGCCGGCGAAATGTAAACCGATATCTTAACTGAAGATATCTTACTAAGTAAACTATAGATTAATTTTTGTTCGAGGCTAAAATTTCAACACCTTCCATTCCAAACGTCTATATCGAATGATACGCAGTCACGGTAAGCACCGAAATCTAACATCTTCGAATTGCCAGGTAAATCACTTTTATCGATTTCTCTATTCAACGTTTGAATGATCAAAGTAGCGAAAAACTTCTCAAGTTACAGACCATGCCATTTTAACAATCTATTTTTTTTTTCAGAAAAATGGATCGAAAGGATGAGGTTCTGCAGATGCACCTGTTGCGAGACTACCGTTCGTCCAGCACGAGAACTGAACTGCACAAACAGCTTTTGGGCAGTCCGCGGTCAAGGAACATCAACTTCGTTCGAATTCTCTTGGAGAAGGGGGACGACGTGAACAGGATCAAGGAAAATGCGAAGTATGCCGCGATCCACTACGCCACGGAAAAAGGTCACGAGGATGTTCTACGGGTACGTCAGATATTCGAATTTAATACTACGGCAACTTTGAACACTTTAGAATGCTATCAAGGACATGTTGTCATCGACAGGTGCTGCTGGAGAACCCTATGGTCAATCCCAATCTGCAGGCTGCTTCTCAAACCGCTCTACACATAGCAGTGAGTAACGACAACCTGGTATGCGCGGCACTATTACTGGAGAAGGGGGCTAGTCCGAACGTGGTTGACTGCAAAGGTCGGACCCCGCTTCATATGGCGGCTATGAAGGAGCAAAGAGCTATGGTGGAATTGATCTTGGATAAAGCGACATTCCCCCCAGACCTGGACAGCTACAAGGATTACAACAAAGAGACTACGAGGGATGTTCTAAAGAGGCTGCTACCGGACCTATTGCTACCTCCTCCCGTAGATAGACGTCCGGATGTGAACCTTCTCAAATACCACCTGACCGCAAACGACGAGAAGAGTTTCCTGGAGTGTCTAAAAAATATTTCGAACAATGCGGAGATCGATGCCGAGAATCTGATCGCGATGGCCGCCCAGCGAAACTTCGAGAACGCGATCTCCGAATTGTTTGAGAGACGACCTGTCAGTTATAACTTAGAGAAAGCCGCAGACATAGCGATCCAGAAGAACTCGCCGCATATTCTCCGTCTCTTACTGAACAACTTCGCTGATATGGTCGTCGAGGCTGCGAACAGGCTACTATTCACCGTTTGTATCGACCTAGGAATCCCTGGTAGTGATGACCCGCAGGACTCGTCGAATCGCCTCAAATGTCTCAGATTGGTCCTCGAGAGGGACCAAGTAAACGTTCGTTGTACCGACGGTAAAGACGGTTTCCTTGAATTTTGTACATTAGTATGTACAGATGACAATGACTTAAAACGTATTATTTTGTTCTAGAGAAAGGAAATACTCCTCTTCACTATGCGGCAAGAGCTGACAGTCGCGAAGCGACGATGTTACTGCTGGAAAAGGGGAGCTACATTGGCCACGTGAACAAATTCGGTTCGCCAGCAGTCTACGACATATCCGCGTCCATACTGTCTCAATACTTCGACGACTGCATCCAAGCCGATAAAAGAGAACATACAAACATCCGTGTAATCAAGTTCGACTACAGATGCTTGAATCCTCACAATACTGATCCGGAACAACGCAGACGAGAGATGAACCTCTTCCAGTATATCGCCGGCAACGCCGATTTGAAACATCTGCTGATGCATCCCCTGCTGTCCTCGTTCATCTATCTGAAGTGGCAGAAAATACGCCTCGTCCTCCGTGCGAGCTTCGCTTTCCATTTGCTTCTCTACGTTCTACTGAACGCATATATCATTGGTGCAGCGGGGACAAGAACATTCACAAAATCTGACAATCAAATTTCCGAAGCGTTACCAGAGATACCACCCGCTGTTATTATTTTCAGAACACTTGCCAGCATTGTCCTGTCAATACTTGCGTTTTGGAAGCTGTTCCAGCTAGTCACGTCGCCGTGCTGTTACTTATCGAATTTTGGGAACTGGTGCGAACTGGTGTTGGTGGTTCTTGAGTTCCTAGTATTATACGACGTGGGCCCTGATAGCATGGCTGCTCTAGTGACACTGCTGTCCACTTGGCACTTGGTGGTCATGATGAGCCAGTACTCCTGGCTGTCCGCGGACATTGAAATATTCAAGACGGTATCCTGGAAGTTTCTGCGGTTCTTGGCCGTCTACGCGCTCCTCATTTTCGCGTTCGCGTTAGCCTTTTTCGTCCTGTTTCAGCAAAACGAGAATTTCCTGGACCTTGGTCAGTCAATGTTTAAAACCATTATCATGCTTACCGGCGAATTCGATGCAGACGAAATACCATTCAAATCTTATCCATACATGAGCCATCTGGTTTTCGTCTTGTTCGTCTTTCTGATCGCCATAGTACTGCTCAATCTTCTAAATGGTCTGGCGGTGAACGACACAACCGAGATTCTCGGCAAGGCCGAGTTGATTCGCCTGATTTCCAGGGTCAGGTTGATTTCTTACGTTGAAAATACAATAATCAACACGGACTACGATCACGCACCGCATTGCCGGCTATCGAATTGCTGTCTTCATAACTGGCAGTGCAATCCTCTCGTTTTCTTGGCGCCCAAGGTCCTTATGTTCCCGAGGCATTTAAATAATGGTACGCTCAGTATTGAGCCTTACAATAACTCCAAGATGGACTCCGGTATTATCAAACGAGCTAGGGAGATTCTTTCAAGGAAAGATCGGGAATCGGACAGTGAAAGGATCATCGGTGAATTAGAAAAAGTGAAAAAAAGTCTGGCTTTGATCGATGTTTCGCTGAAGACCCCAAGGCCGGGCCTCGACAACAATAATAGAAAATGTGATGAAGACCCCAGGGTGTCCCACAATTATTTTAACACCAAAAATGAGGGATAGCTGAGGTCATTTGAGGTAACTTTTTCCTTTGCAAAACTGCAATCTGTGACTTTGTTTATGAGTTATTAACGAAAAACACTGACAGTATAAACATTGTACGATAAATAAGTTGTATGTATTGCTTTTGCGGTAAATGATGTCTAAACGTATCACATTCTTTTGTGTGCATGATAGTGAACCGATCGTGATAATTATGCAAATAAATAAAACAATTGAACTACTAAGGATAACAAATTAAAGTACATTTGTTCAAAGTGCGAATTTTCGATTTAAGATCGGTACATAATTACTCGATGCCACTTATTATTTAATTCGTGATGCAATTGTGTATACGCATGTGCGTTTATAAATTAATTTTACTGTATACGAATATTTAACAGTCAACCGGAGACCTCCTCTTGAGTGGTTGCCTTCTCTTTCCCACGTCGTATTAAAATGTCGGTATAAAATAGATTGAAATCTAGCCTGAAAAAAAATTTAACATTCATGTCAATATGATTATCAAATTTTAACATTTGTAAATCAACGACTCACCTACAGAATACATTCAACAGTTTTTCATTATTGTTATCACTTCCTAGATCACAGATTCTGTCCAGAAGACGTGTTAATACTTGCGTAAATTTATCGTCCAGCGATACAATTGTTTCTTCAAAGCTTCCTGCATTCTCTTTCAATGTGTCTCCGTTTTCGTTCTAACAAAATAGACAGAAATAAACTGATTATATTTAAATTTAATTCGATGCATTCTAATAAACCCCTTGTAGAACTATGATTAAGAAGAGCATACATTATTGAAAATTAATGTAATGTACACAATGATATCTGAAATATGCCACCCACTGACGTACACATGTGGATGGCAAGCTAAAAATTTGTAAAGCGAATGCATCTTATTGCTTGAATTTCACGTACCTGCAATGTAAAAATGAGATCTCACTATCGCTATGAATACAACTATACATATATTAAAATGTTTAAACGCATAAATCGAGTACCATGCTATGTCTGAATGATATTTAAATACCAATTACAAACATTGAGGTGTAACTTCAAATAAATAAAAAATACACTTTAAAACATATCATAAATTACATCGCAATATAATATTCACATTTTATACGAAATTTGCATGCTACACTAAGAAGTAGAATATTGCTACATAATTAGACATAAAATTTTTAGAACTAAGAGACATTACGCATCTACAGATCAGAATATTTTATATTTTTAATAGTATGGACTCTATTATGCTTGCAACATTTGTCAAAAAGAATGTACATTTTAGATCTTACTCGTGTATTATTTGTGTTATTAAATATCTGTATAGCGTGTACATGTACCACATGATTCGATTAGAAAATGTATTATAAAACTATTCGCTTACATCCGTCTATGTTCTCAATGCAATTGTCAATAATAATAATTAATGTATGTTTTTTCTATATATATGTATGTATAAGTTTATGAATAATGTTTATATAGTTTCAACGAAATTTATTAAAAGCTTACGTTCATTCAGTCCGTATTATTTACAAACTATTAACATACAAAAATTTTATTTTATCGACGAATCCATAATGTCCAAATATTGTATATACAAATTTCCATGCGAATTTGAGAAAATATTCTCAGTGTGAACAGGAAATATGACTTCTATACTGATTTTTATTCGCTAAAAAAGAGAAGCTTCGTGATTCTAAGAACTACGTAAAATGCATGAAAGCGAAGTTAGAACTTTTGGAATATACCTCAGAATCATAGACATCTTCCTGATAGGCGCCAATCATGGACGTCAATTCGGCGTCAATGTAGTATGGGCTCATACGCTTAACATTAGTAAAAAATTAACGTTCAATTTACTACTAATTGTCACGTTTCTTTTGTTTCATAATATTTAACACAGAAAATATTGCACCAGAACTAGATCTCGATAGAAGGTATTTATTTATTCAGCTATTAAATCCGTAACAGTTAACAAAAAATTCTTTGATAATCATCTGTATATTAAGTTTAAAATACCTGAGGTATCTATTTTGTATTATATTAATTAATAAAAGCAAAGTATGCAACTCAGAAAAAGTGTTTGATCCTTATTTGGTGTATGTATGTGTACCGTATGCACGACTGTATAAACGTTCAGTTACCTGTGCATATTCATTCGTTTATTAATTGAGCAACAAGAGCTTACCTCCATGAAATCGCAAAAATCGATACAAGCGGCGCATATATCCGTAATGCAGGCAAGAAGATCTGGATCGGTCAACATGCATTCTTTCAAATAACTGTCTTGCAAATCTTGATGTACACTCAGGACGTCATCCACATTACTGACCTAGTTTGAAGTTTTGGTAGTAGAAATTTTGAATATCTTTCGGCATTTAAATTATGCTTCTAAAAGCTGATCATACTTTACTCATTTTATTTATGAACGTTAGCCAATTTGGCTCTATNCGATCGTGATAATTATGCAAATAAATAAAACAATTGAACTACTAAGGATAACAAATTAAAGTACATTTGTTCAAAGTGCGAATTTTCGATTTAAGATCGGTACATAATTACTCGATGCCACTTATTATTTAATTCGTGATGCAATTGTGTATACGCATGTGCGTTTATAAATTAATTTTACTGTATACGAATATTTAACAGTCAACCGGAGACCTCCTCTTGAGTGGTTGCCTTCTCTTTCCCACGTCGTATTAAAATGTCGGTATAAAATAGATTGAAATCTAGCCTGAAAAAAAATTTAACATTCATGTCAATATGATTATCAAATTTTAACATTTGTAAATCAACGACTCACCTACAGAATACATTCAACAGTTTTTCATTATTGTTATCACTTCCTAGATCACAGATTCTGTCCAGAAGACGCGTTAATACTTGCGTAAATTTATCGTCCAGCGATACAATTGTTTCTTCAAAGCTTCCTGCATTCTCTTTCAATGCGTCTACGTTTTCGTTCTAACAAAATAGACAGAAATAAACTGATTATATTTAAGTTTCATTCGATACATTCTAATAGACCCCTTGTGAAACTATGATTAAGGAGCATATGTTAATGTGTGAAACAATCCTCGTTTGATCATCTTAGTTCATCGATCTTCCCAAGAAGCCAATTTCATAGCTTCTACCGTAACGACTTAACAATTTCTTTTTAAGAATTTACTTCGAGTTTCACTTGCGGTTAGAGAAGAAACAAGTTGAGTCGTTCTTAATTTCCTCTGATTAGCATGCAGCACTAGAATCAACGGTGATCTGTCAGTTCGATCGATCAAACGGTCACATGCGAATATACAGGGTGTCCCAAAAATGTCTCGCAATCCGGAAATGGCGAGTTCCTCAGATCATTTGAAGCAACTTCTTCCTTTACGAAAATTTTCTCCGAGGCACCGTTAACGAGTTATTAACGAAAAACAGTGTCACCTCTCCCATTGTTCCTTCATCGGCTTTTTACTTTTCTGCCTTACCCTCGATGTCGCAGTTCCTTTTCAACCTAGTCGCGTGTACTGCCGGTTATCTTTCGTCCCGCGTTCACCTTTTATCGATCCACCCACGGAACACGCTATTGTGCATGCGATTCAATTGAAAGCTACCAATCTACAAATTCTCCTACGAAAAATCCTTAATTGATTCCCGATTGCTATGGTTAAATTCAATCTTCATCCTTCGATTGGATGAAAAATTTACCAAAACCGAAGCTACACTGTAATCTTCGGTTCATTGTATTTTGTGCCGGATCAATGCACAAGACCGTCAGGTCTGTTTTCCTGTTGTTTTCCTGTCAAGGAAAACATTTCGTTTATTTCATTGCAATAACTAGACTGTGCTAGCTTCTTTGATTACAAATTCAATTTTACTCGTTCCTTTGACGTAACCGAGGTAATAACGCTTCCTTGGGGTAACCTTGGCGTGTCCTCCACCCCAAAAGCCAATCTCGGCGACACCGGGGAGCGAAAGAAACACGTTCCTTTGACGTAACCGGGGTAATAACGCTTCCTTGGCGTGCTTTTGACGTATGACCTTGGGGTGACCGCGAATCAGTCAACTGATTCGCGGAAATGGGGAACATAGCGATCCACCGGCAATTTCACGCCATCCGTTTCCTGTTCTGTGAAAATATTCATTTTCCGAATAAATTTAAATAGAATCTTACATATAGATCGATTTATTCCTAATTCGATCGTCTTGTCAAGAATCCAAATGGGTTTCAAACTTTAGTGGTATAAATTCGAATTGGAGTATTGGCGTAATCGAAACTTCATCCGAGCAATCGAATTTCAGTATTTAACCTGGACACCGAAGTATGGAAGTATTCAGGTTTGAATCTGACTACTAAGTAGTCGATCTTAAATCCAACTGCTGAAGTGTACGAAACTTGAATCTAAATCCTCGAGTAGCTTCAAATCTTGGTAATGAACTTGTTTGGTTTCTTTACGGATTACAAGTGACAATCGTATTCAAGTCCGTAGTATGTATGTTGAGTTGCGAAATATCAACGTTTTACGTTCTCAAACTTACGATAAATTAGTTTTTATCTTCGAGGAATGCCGTGAGTACATATTTAAGATGCAAGATTAAAGCATATCATTTTGCAGTTCGAATTATCGTTAAGTTCGAGATATTTTATACGTCATTTATACAATATAATTTCATTAATTAATTATTACTCTGTAATATGTAGTTAAAATATTATTCCCGACTTATTCGGGAATATTATGGTCGTCACGAGTTCGNTATTATTCCCGACTTATTCGGGAATATTATGGTCGTCACGAGTTCGTATTGAAAGATACACGAATGAAATGCGAATTGCACAAAATTCAACGAATAAGAAAATATCAGACAATTTTCGAATGAAAAAGGGTTTGTAGCATCTTTAAATCGTTTGCTTTAAAATACTTCTACGAATACTTCTGCATGCTATTGGATTTACAATTTATGTAAGTTCGAATCACCTGTGTATATTATGTAGCAGCTGTGCTCCCTTAAATGGTGCAAGGATGATGTGGAGGAGCAGCAAGGTAACTAATTGAATCACAGATTTAATCGTTCGAACTATTCGTGGAGCATTACGGAAACACCGACCACCTATACATCTGCTCGCACCGAAGACGCGTTCCTGACTGAGGATCAAATCAGGCGGTAATCGCGCACAGTGCCGATCCGCGTCCCTCGATNCTTAAATCCAACTGCTGAAGTGTACGAAACTTGAATCTAAATCCTCGAGTAGCTTCAAATCTTGGTAATGAACTTGTTTGGTTTCTTTACGGATTACAAGTGACAATCGTATTCAAGTCCGTAGTATGTATGTTGAGTTGCGAAATATCAACGTTTTACGTTCTCAAACTTACGATAAATTAGTTTTTATCTTCGAGGAATGCCGTGAGTACATATTTAAGATGCAAGATTAAAGCATATCATTTTGCAGTTCGAATTATCGTTAAGTTCGAGATATTTTATACGTCATTTATACAATATAATTTCATTAATTAATTATTACTCTGTAATATGTAGTTAAAATATTATTCCCGACTTATTCGGGAATATTATGGTCGTCACGAGTTCGTATTGAAAGATACACGAATGAAATGCGAATTGCACAAAATTCAACGAATAAGAAAATATCAGACAATTTTCGAATGAAAAAGGGTTTGTAGCATCTTTAAATCGTTTGCTTTAAAATACTTCTACGAATACTTCTGCATGCTATTGGATTTACAATTTATGTAAGTTCGAATCACCTGTGTATATTATGTAGCAGCTGTGCTCCCTTAAATGGTGCAAGGATGATGTGGAGGAGCAGCAAGGTAACTAATTGAATCACAGATTTAATCGTTCGAACTATTCGTGGAGCATTACGGAAACACCGACCACCTATACATCTGCTCGCACCGAAGACGCGTTCCTGACTGAGGATCAAATCAGGCGGTAATCGCGCACAGTGCCGATCCGCGTCCCTCGATCCCCACTCTACGTAGATCCCGGCAGTGATTCAGAATGTCGACGCATGCGCAGCTCACCGTTATTCTAGGATAACGCTACCGTCCTGGGTTGGGCGCGTTTCAAAATTTTTCTGCGCGAATTCCGCAGATTTCTTCTTTTAAACCTTTGCACTCGAGTGGTGAAACTGAGGCACCAGTAAAAAAAATTATTACACCACGTTCCAAGATAATTTTTATAATATCAAAGAATATATAAAATATAAAGAATTGTTGAAAGTCTAACTGTTGTATGAGTCACAGTCAATTTACAGTTAATACGGCTTCGAATCTGAAGGGTTAATAGTGCTCTTACATTAGAATAACGTAACAATTTTCGTAAATATCAATAATTTTTCGATGTATTCATTATCCTATATTTCTCATGAATGCACAGATTCCGCAATGTAAACACAGATCTGAATTGTTCAGTTTTTCCATTGATTCACACCGGGTGAATGTGTATCCAATACCACTATTTATGGGGTTTGGTCAATATATTTGCAAAATTTGGATAAATGCAATCTTGTGTTCTTTTTTTCATAGATATAAAGCAGTCGATTCTACTGATGGATGGTTTCTACGCTAAGTGCCGAAAATAATTGTCCGTTCAAAATTGTCTTCGATGGAATACGTTTGAGAAGAGAGGCCTGCACAGGTGACGATACATCGGAGATGGTTATCGCGAACGTATCGCCTTGGCTCCCTTATTCGGAACTCTTGATTTCACAACCCACGCACCCCAACGATCTTGGTAGTGATCCTCGACACTGGACATTCGACCTTGCCGCGTCCTAAGCCCGGAGTAATAGCCAGCTAAAATTAGGGACTCACGTTCTCGCGCATAATGACGAGAAAGCGACTGCGAGGCCTGCTTCCGCTTCTGACCATGCTCTTAGATTTTTATAAATCCTAGGTAAAATCTTAATTTTAGCATTAAACCAAAGAGAATGCTGTCAGAAAATGCATCGAATGTACTTCCAATGTTACCATGTCCTTCTGATTAGCATTTTCAAAAAGTACATTTCTATATGTCCCTCGACCATCAAAAGATTAAAAACGGTGTAGTTTTTTGTTTGTAGTTTGAACGGATATGAAGACAGTACAAGAAAATTTTCAAGCTTGTAACAGTGACATTCTAAATAGGCATCTATTACCTTCGAATCCGCTAACGAGTAGTTTCCGACTTAGAGCACAAAGCAAGCTCGTTTTAAATGGACCAACACGAACATTTGTCCCCAATTGGATACAACATTTTCCACTAAAATGAAATGTACTTCGACGCGGGTAATATAAAATAATGCACTGCAGATTTATTTCTTTACAGTGAAATTTCATAACATGATTACATTACATCACATCCAACTGTATTCTACCGTATAAATTCGTTTTAGTCAGCTTTCTGGGAGCCATCCGATCCGCTATGCGTCAGTACAGCGAGGAGGACTCGTATTAATTCATCCAGTCACACTGTCGGGAGCGCAGCGGCGTTCCGAACACTGTCGGACATTTAATCGTGCCCCACTCTTGCCACGCTGACATCACGATGTGGAGAACCGGTCAGCAGAGCGGCTCATTGAGTCGTGAGAGAACTTGTAATGTATAACCAAGTCGAATCGTTCCATTATCGAGTAGGAAAGTGATCGATGGTAAGATCCGAAATTTCTTGTCCGTCATTCCAGAGATTCTGTCGATCATATAGATCACTGAATATTTGCTAGATACGATCCGTGCAACAAGTTGATCGTGCACGTATCGATTTGATAGTATGTAATTAGAAATAATTTTGAATATGCTTCGCATTTCTTTTAACATTTCAATACAGACGTTCCATTAATCCCGAGATTGTTTCACGACGATGAACTCGCCAAGCCGAATTGCAATTAGATAAGATCATTATTCCGGTTATTACTATCGACCACGTTCCTCGAATATCGCGAACCGATTGAATTACTTTATATCTATCCGATTATTCTACAGGTGGTAAGAACCGCGCGGACGCAAAGAAGCACGCAGCACGCTGGCTACCACCGGCATTCCTATTCACTCGAACTCGAGCCAGCGCTGACAACAGGAAACGCATCCGGACAACGTTTCTTTCCATTCCAAACGTCTATATCGAATGATACGCAGTCACGGCAAGCACCGAAATCTAACATCTTCGAATTGCCAGGTAAATCACTTTTATCGATTTCTCTATTCAACGTTTGAATGATCAAAGTAGCGAAAAACTTCTCAAGTTACAGACCATGCCATTTTAACAATCTATTTTTTTTCAGAAAAATGGATCGAGAGGATGAGGTTCTGCAGATGCACCTGTTGCGAGACTACCGTTCGTCTTTCACGAGAACTCGACTGCACGAACAGCTTTTGGACAGTCTGCGGTCGAGGAACATCAAGCTCTTCGCAAGTCTGCTCGAGCAAATCTCAAAAAGTGGCGTCGACATAAACCGCGTGTACCCCGGCGAGCCGGGGGAGACCTGCCTGGATATCGCCTGCATGGAAGGTCTCACGGACTTCGTTCCAATTCTCTTGGAGAAGGGGGCCGACGTGAACAGGATCAACGAAGATGCGAACTATGCCGCGATCCACTACGCCATGGAACAAGGTCACGAGGATGTTCTACGGGTACGTCAGATATTCGAATTTAATACTACGGCAACTTTGAACACTTTAGAATGCTATCAAGGACATGTTGTCATCGACAGGTGCTGCTGGAGAACCCTATGGTCAATCCCAATCTGCAGGCTGCTTCTCAAACCGCTCTACACATAGCAGTGAGTAACGACAACCTGGTATGCGCGGCACTATTACTGGAGAAGGGGGCTAGTCCGAACGTGGTTAACAGCAAAGGTCTGACCCCGCTTCATATGGCGGCTATGAGGAAGCAAAGAGCTATGGTGGAATTGATCTTGGATAAAGCGACACTCGCCCCAGACCTGGACAGCTACAAGGATTACAACAAAGAGACTACGAGGGATGTTCTAAAGAGGCTGCTACCGGACCTATTGCTACCTCCTCCCGTAGATAGACGTCCGGATGTGAACCTTCTCAAATACCACCTGACCGCAAACGACGAGAAGAGTTTCCTGGAGTGTCTAAAAAATATTTCGAACAACGCGGAGATCGATGCCGAGAATCTGATCGCGATGGCCGCCCAGCGAAACTTCGAGAACGCGATCTCCGAATTGTTTAAGAGACGACCTGTCAGTTATAACTTAGAGAAAGCCGCAGACATAGCGATCCAGAAGAACTCGCCGCATATTCTCCGTCTCTTACTGAACAACTTCGCTGATATGGACGTCGAGGCTGCGAACAGGCTACTATTCACCGTTTGTATCGACCTAGGAATCCCCGGTAGTGGTGGCTCGCAGGACACGTTGAATCGCCTCGAATGTCTCAGATTGGTCCTCGAGAGGGACCAAGTAAACGTTCGTTGTACCGACGGTAAAGACGGTTTCCTTGAATTTTGTACATTAGTATGTACAGATGACAATGACTTAAAACGTATTATTTTGTTCTAGGGAAAGGAAATACTCCTCTTCACTATGCGGCAAGAGCCGACAGCCGCGAAGCGATGGCGATGCTGCTGGCAAAGGGAAGCTACATTGGCCATGTGAACGCGTTCGGCTCGCCAGCAGTAGCCGACATACCCGCGTCCACACTGTCTCAATACTTCGACGACTGCATCCAAGCCAGAAGGGAACATACAAACGAGTATCTAATCGAGTTCGACTACAGATGCTTGAATCCTCACAATACTGATCCGAAACAACACAGACGGGAGATGGATCTCTTCCAGTATATCGCCGGCAACACCGGTTTGAAACATCTGCTGAAGCATCCCCTGCTGTCCTCGTTCATCTATCTGAAGTGGCAGAAAATACGCCTCGTCCTCCGTGCGAGCTTCGCTTTCCATTTGCTTCTCTACGTTCTACTGAACGCATATATCATTGGTGCAGCGGGGACAAGAACATTCACAAAATCTGACAATCAAATTTCCGAAGCGTTACCAGAGATACCACCCGCTGTTATTATTTTCAGAACACTTGCCAGCATTGTCCTGTCAATACTTGCGTTTTGGAAGCTGTTCCAGCTAGTCACGTCGCCGTGCTGTTACGTATCGAATTTTGGGAACTGGTGCGAACTGGTGTTGGTGTTTCTTGAGTTCCTAGTACTATACGACGTGGGCCCTGATAGCTTGGCTGCTCCAGTGACACTGCTGTCCGCTTGGCATTTGGTGGTCATGATGGGCCAGTACTCCTGGCTGTCCGCGGACATTGAAATATTCAAGACGGTATCCTGGAAGTTTCTGCGGTTCTTGGCCGTCTACGCGCTCCTCATTTTCGCGTTCGCGTTAGCCTTTTTCGTCCTGTTTCAGCAAAACGAGAATTTCCTGGACCTTGGTCAGTCAATGTTTAAAACCATTATCATGCTTACCGGCGAATTCGATGCAGACGAAATACCATTCAAATCTTATCCATACATGAGCCATCTGGTTTTCGTCTTGTTCGTCTTTCTGATCGCCATAGTACTGCTCAATCTTCTAAATGGTCTGGCGGTGAACGACACAACCGAGATTCTCGGCAAGGCCGAGTTGATTGGCCTGATTTCCAGGATCAGGTTGATCTCTTACGTTGAAAATATAGTAACCAACTCGGTCTACGATCACGCACCGCATTGCCGGCTATCGCATTATTGTCTTTGTAACTGGCGGTGCAAACCTCTCGCTTTCCTGACGAGCCAGGTCCTTGTGTTCCCGGAGTATTTAAGGAAAGGTACGCTCAGTGTTGAGCTTTACAATAGATCCAAGATGGACTCCGGTATTATCAAACGAGCTAGAGAGATTCTTTCAAGGAAAGATCGGGAATCGGACACTGAAAGAATCATCGGTGAATTAGACAAAGTGAAAGAAAGGCTGGCTTTGATCGATGTTTCGCTGAATGCCCTAAGGCAGGGCCTCGACAACAATAATAGAACAGATGATAGCACTCCTTCTTGAAGACTTTCAGCTATATATGTATTTTTCTAATTTCTTTCGCTTACAAACGTCAAGGATCATTGATGTCCAATGATACATTGTTCCATCAGCACTGATGCCGATAAAATAGAAAAATAGAAAAGTGATATATCATTTCGTAGTAGCTACGCTGTTGTTCTCAATTCTAATTAAGTTATTTAGTTTTACAAAAAAATCATCTATAATCTTCGACTTTATATGTTGTTTATAATTTGTTGACTTACGATTAAGATATTCGAAGATTTTTATACTTATGATTAAACTATTTAAAGAATTTTATATTCCAGACTATAAACAAAGCAATAATTTTATCGAATTAAATATTTAAATTTCATAGAAATTAAGTGCGATGCGTCATTGTTGGAGTATGAACATTGTACGATAAATAAGTTGTATGTATTGCTTTTACCGCAGTGCCATTAGTTGATATAAAATTTTGGTGACTAAACGCATCACATTCTTTTGTGTACATGATAGTGAATCGATCGTGATAATTATGCAAATAAATAAAACAATTGAACTACTAAGGATAACAAATTAAAGTACATTTGTTCAAAGTGCGAATTTTCGATTTAAGATCGGTACATAATTACTCGATGCCACTTATTATTTAATTCGTGATGCAATTGTGTATACGCATGTGCGTTTATAAATTAATTTTACTGTATACGAATATTTAACAGTCAACCGGAGACCTCCTCTTGAGTGGTTGCCTTCTCTTTCCCACGTCGTATTAAAATGTCGGTATAAAATAGATTGAAATCTAGCCTGAAAAAAAATTTAACATTCATGTCAATATGATTATCAAATTTTAACATTTGTAAATCAACGACTCACCTACAGAATACATTCAACAGTTTTTCATTATTGTTATCACTTCCTAGATCACAGATTCTGTCCAGAAGACGTGTTAATACTTGCGTAAATTTATCGTCCAGCGATACAATTGTTTCTTCAAAGCTTCCTGCATTCTCTTTCAATGTGTCTCCGTTTTCGTTCTAACAAAATAGACAGAAATAAACTGATTATATTTAAATTTAATTCGATGCATTCTAATAAACCCCTTGTAGAACTATGATTAAGAAGAGCATACATTATTGAAAATTAATGTAATGTACACAATGATATCTGAAATATGCCACCCACTGACGTACACATGTGGATGGCAAGCTAAAAATTTGTAAAGCGAATGCATCTTATTGCTTGAATTTCACGTACCTGCAATGTAAAAATGAGATCTCACTATCGCTATGAATACAACTATACATATATTAAAATGTTTAAACGCATAAATCGAGTACCATGCTATGTCTGAATGATATTTAAATACCAATTACAAACATTGAGGTGTAACTTCAAATAAATAAAAAATACACTTTAAAACATATCATAAATTACATCGCAATATAATATTCACATTTTATACGAAATTTGCATGCTACACTAAGAAGTAGAATATTGCTACATAATTAGACATAAAATTTTTAGAACTAAGAGACATTACGCATCTACAGATCAGAATATTTTATATTTTTAATAGTATGGACTCTATTATGCTTGCAACATTTGTCAAAAAGAATGTACATTTTAGATCTTACTCGTGTATTATTTGTGTTATTAAATATCTGTATAGCGTGTACATGTACCACATGATTCGATTAGAAAATGTATTATAAAACTATTCGCTTACATCCGTCTATGTTCTCAATGCAATTGTCAATAATAATAATTAATGTATGTTTTTTCTATATATATGTATGTATAAGTTTATGAATAATGTTTATATAGTTTCAACGAAATTTATTAAAAGCTTACGTTCATTCAGTCCGTATTATTTACAAACTATTAACATACAAAAATTTTATTTTATCGACGAATCCATAATGTCCAAATATTGTATATACAAATTTCCATGCGAATTTGAGAAAATATTCTCAGTGTGAACAGGAAATATGACTTCTATACTGATTTTTATTCGCTAAAAAAGAGAAGCTTCGTGATTCTAAGAACTACGTAAAATGCATGAAAGCGAAGTTAGAACTTTTGGAATATACCTCAGAATCATAGACATCTTCCTGATAGGCGCCAATCATGGACGTCAATTCGGCGTCAATGTAGTATGGGCTCATACGCTTAACATTAGTAAAAAATTAACGTTCAATTTACTACTAATTGTCACGTTTCTTTTGTTTCATAATATTTAACACAGAAAATATTGCACCAGAACTAGATCTCGATAGAAGGTATTTATTTATTCAGCTATTAAATCCGTAACAGTTAACAAAAAATTCTTTGATAATCATCTGTATATTAAGTTTAAAATACCTGAGGTATCTATTTTGTATTATATTAATTAATAAAAGCAAAGTATGCAACTCAGAAAAAGTGTTTGATCCTTATTTGGTGTATGTATGTGTACCGTATGCACGACTGTATAAACGTTCAGTTACCTGTGCATATTCATTCGTTTATTAATTGAGCAACAAGAGCTTACCTCCATGAAATCGCAAAAATCGATACAAGCGGCGCATATATCCGTAATGCAGGCAAGAAGATCTGGATCGGTCAACATGCATTCTTTCAAATAACTGTCTTGCAAATCTTGATGTACACTCAGGACGTCATCCACATTACTGACCTAGTTTGAAGTTTTGGTAGTAGAAATTTTGAATATCTTTCGGCATTTAAATTATGCTTCTAAAAGCTGATCATACTTTACTCATTTTATTTATGAACGTTAGCCAATTTGGCTCTATTACTTCAACCATCATGTAGTACGCCAGATGCTGAATACAATCGAGCATTCGTTGACGCAACGAAAATGCTTTTCTGTAAGACATCGCCACGTTGTGGGTGAATGTTTTGGCAATTTTATTGCTAACCCATACCCTGATATCGAATAAATGTTCAATTAAAATTAACAATCAAATGATTGTAAAATTACTATACCAACCTGCATAAACGTCTTTCAATGTACTTGCAGTAAAATAAGTGCCTAAACAACATCTGATAACAAGCGATCGCTTTTCTATTCAGTATCAAGGAAACAGGCCACTTGACGTCATAGTTGAACACAAATGCTTCCAAACCAGTTAAAGTTTTATCATTTTTAAAGCAATACTCTGTAAAAAAGCGTCTGGTTGTACATTAATGTTAGTGATTTCAATAAAGACGTATGGATCTACCTTCTTCTTCTCTGGTTTGAATGGAGAGTATTCTGAACATTTGAAACTGAAGATCGTACGGTAAAAGTTCAGGTTTCAAATCATCTTTGTACGGATCTGAATCCGCAGTGGACATACGCAACGCAACTTCCAGAAGAGAGGCCAAACGATGGGTCACGATATCATACATATTTTTATTTAATTCTGCTTCGCACAAATTCAAAAATTGTACCTACAATTAAATTATGAACTCTCTTAGCGAATTTTCTAAAATGCCACAGCTGTTTGCACCACTTCTATGTTATGGACATAGAAAATAATAAAAGAACTTACCACAAAATCACCTTGGGCAAGTAGGAAATAACTTTTTACACTACGAAGTCGCCCCATTAAATCGCTTTCGTGTATAAGGACCTCTAATAAAGTTTTCGCAGCTTCAGAATATGCTCTATCGATAGTGGCAATATATTTCTGACCTTGATGCTGATAGATGAGCGGTTCTTGTTTTCCCCACTGAACAGTCTTACCTATAAACTTATATTGGTAATACTTCTGTCTACATATAGCAATTACTCTGTATATGCGTAAGATAATACATACCACATTGTCGGATTACATTAAAGTATTTCCCAGTTCTTAAAATAGTGTTTGCCTGTTCATTGAGGAATGTGGGGATTCTCTCTGACCTCATAGTATACCTTTTCTCCCAATAATCCGCGGAATAATCTACCGGTAGCTCTTCCCTATGAATTAATTCATTATCCTCTACAAAAAACTGTAAAATACAAGAAGAGTGTTTAATATACTCTGGACAAATGGAACTAATGAATAAAGTTTGTACTTACCTCTTCGTATGGATCGCATATTACACCTTTGTATACCCATTTTTCAAGTATTTGCATGTAAGGTACGCTTGCGGTTTGTATCAGAAACATGCATAGTTCTTTGAACTTTGCCTCACCACTTATATTATTCGCTTGCTCATGTAAAAGACTGAGTACCTTTCCACCTTTTGCATTCGCCTCAAATAAACAGTTTTATCATGTAACAATTTATAAAAAGAATTTAAAGAATGTAACTGTGATGTTTAACTCACTTTACATATCGTGGACGTTATTTGGAAGAGAACAGACATTGCGATTATAGTAGGCTGTATGAAGAACCACAATTTCTGCAAATTCAATTTACCACGAATGTGCTCCATTTCCAATTGTACAACGAATAACTAAAAAGTATTTAATTATTTGACAGTATGTCGATCAAATATTTGAATTAAAATTTAGATGAAACACCTACTAAATAATCCTTTAACAGACTTTTTATGGCTCCTCTTAAAGCATGATTAACTTGACCATCTTCTGATACGACTTTTTCTTCGACAAATCTCGCCGTCATGGAATAATGAGAAGCGAGAGGTAATATTTGCTGTGCCATTTGCTTGTAAGATATGCCTTTAAACAATATAGCTGTATAAAATTACAATATTTTACATTCTATATAATAGAAATAAATGATCTTGATGCTCCTTACAGACATCTGGGGATATTTTGAATGTTTTCACTGCGTATGGAGTAGTTAAAGGTTCAGAAACAATGTAAGATCCATCTATACCCTTCAGACAGTTCAGAATGTCCCAAAGCAAAATAGATTCCTGAGACACAGTTGGTACAACCTCTGCAAAAACTTTTATTTAGCGAATCATCTACTAGTATGTCAATATTAGCTTGAAAAGATTCTTACTCTGGCATGGTGAGACATTTGGTTCATTATAGAAGTCCCAGCTCATCCGTGGCCTCTCATGAGCCCAATAATGTTTTACCCCAGGTGGTTCTGTTTTCTTTACAATAGCATTTATTTGTTGAGTTAACTTCTTTTCTCCTTCCACAGCAGCTTTAATCACGTTTTTACAAATCTGTGATGTAATTATAAATAATAAATAGAACAGTGAAAAAGTTATATTAATTTTTCAGAAAAAAATACAACCTGTGGTAAGTCTTTTGTGGTGATAGCAGCATTTTTGCTTGAAGTTGAAGTCGCTGTGGTTGCTTGTTTGCCTAAATAACTTTTCAAATCTTTATCTTCAGATATAAATTCCAAGACTTGTGCAAATAAACCTAATAGATCTATCCTGAGAAATTGTAAACATGTGTATTAATAAAATTAATTTGGTTCAAATCAGGGAACACATAATGATACCAACTTCTTTGCTTTCAATTCCTCATATTTTTGAATAAAAAGTTCAGGAACAGGAGAACTTTTTGCCAAATTACGAATGCAACTTTGCGATGCAACTATAGTTAAAGCACTCACACTTGTTGGTATACCCTCATTTTGTAACCTTTCTATGTGCTTTTCAGGTGCGGAAGTTGACCTACAGATCAATATATAATTTCTAAATGTTTATACTGTTATATATAGCTTTGTTATAGATATTTCATTATTGCTTACCCCAACAGTCCTATTAGTTCAATCACTAAATGATGCAATTTAAATTCACTCATGGCTTTTTACTAAATAACAACCATTATATAGTTGACATAAACAATTTTTTATGATACTGCGATTGCATTTGAAGTTGCTGATACCATTGGTACATTCGAACAATGCATTTACAAAGGAAGCTTTTGTTGAATCTGTTTGCACGTTCTTCTACAATGAAAATTAACGTAAACGCAATTGGTTAAAAATTATATATCAAGCTAGGTTATGTATAAAGATATTGGCATTGGCATTGGCATTGGCATTCTAAAGGAACATTAAACGAACTACATACTTACCTTAAGCAGAAAATAATTCCATTAATATCTATATTAACATAAATATTGACAGTATGTAAAAACATTCATCATTAACAGCAGTCACTGATTTGAGATTGTTTGAAACTTCTGACGCACACATGCCGGTCTGACTTAAATGAATGACGCGCCCTCGTTTAAAACTTATTAACTGATCTTAAATTATTTAAATACATACATACATATACAGCCTATTGCATAGTTGAATTAATAATTATTTAAGGATTTTATTATTATAAATTGAAAGATATTACAGAAAATAAACATTTTTCACTAAGAACGAATGATAGAATTAAAACAATCATCTTTAAATAACATTATTTAAGATTATGTAGAACTTTAGTATCCTGAGTTTTTGAATTTTAATTACTTTTGCACGGACTTATTCCTGCAGACGCTGAATGTATGTCGTATAAAAAAAAAAATTGTTTTGTGCGAGCACCGTTGTTTCCGTTTCAAACAGTGGTAAAGTGTTGTCCTTTATTATCTTCGTACTCATTTGACACCCACATCTATCAGGATTTCTGAAATCATGCATATGTATACCAAATATTAGGTAGAATCAGAAAATTCCAGAAATTCCTTACGGCTCGATCTAACATATTTTCGTTAATTATTATATATGAATTTAATTTTTAAAAGAATATAACATGCAAACAATGATATAACAGTATCTAAGAATACCTAATGTGTGTATTTACAACATTAGATGTAAATATGTTTCGTTGTTTCAGAATATTTCCACCATTATTTATACTTGTTGGTACATTACATACACATCTTGTACCATTTTGTTCCTTCACACAATTTTGAGCATTTATATTTGTTGATGCTTCCCAAAGATACCTTTGCTTCTTATTAGGTATTTCTCTCATGGTAGTGTCCATAGAAGTATTAGACTGACTGGTGCTTATATTTGTTGATAATTTCCAAGGATAATTTTGTTTTTTCTCAGGTATTTTTCTCATGGTAGTGTCAATAAAAGAATTAGACTGACTGGTACTTATATTAGTTGGTGTCTTAATAGAATTTGTATGAACTGTACTTATATCTTTTTTGAATCTCTTAATAATATTTAATGTTTCTTCATCAATTATGGGTCTTTTCTTTCTTAATGAGAAAATATTTTGTTGGATACTGTTAGGCTTGTGGTTTTTTTTTGACTGTCTAAATTTGAAAAAATATGTTAAACAATATAATCAACATTTATCAATATCTTAAAATAACGACACATGTTCTTACAGTAAAAGATCTCTATCAATGTCAAGCTTTATTTTTTTAAAAAATTCATCGTCATCGTCATCATCGTTAACAGCATTATGATTATCATTTGATCTATTGCTAATATTTGATTCTTGAAGTAATGTTCTTCTAGTAACATCATCAGAAAATATTATATCTATAAACAAAGCAATCAGTTGGTGCAATTAATAGTTACTAAACTTTTACCACCTATATACAGTAATTTCTCTCTAATTTGCGCTTATATTGCGCACAAAAACGGACAATTTGGGAAAATGAGATGATAGTTGTTGACAGTCGGTAACTATAAAAGCTCGAGTAATCGTATCTCATTTTCCCAAATTGTCCGTTTTTGTGCGCAATATGAGTGCGAATTAGAGAGAAATTACTGTAATTTGTAAGGATACAAAAATTTACTTGGACTTAGTTTTTGTATATCTGGCTCATCACTGTTTACGATATTATTAGAGAAAATCGTCCTTCTCAGTTCATTGTTCCTATCTCGTAAAAATGAATCTGAAGAATTCATAAACGTCCTTCGTCCTGTCATTGTTGGTCACTGCAATGTACTCTACATAAAACTGGCGTCTTATCAAATGCGTAAATCTAAAAACGTAATGTATAAAACGTATATCTAAAAGTGTAAAATATTTTAAGTTCAAAAATATTATTTACCTTCAAAAGAACGTTCTTTAAAGCATTACATATAGCGAAATTAGTGTTTTGCGATTCAATTTCAAATTATGTTGCGCGGCTTTTTTGTTGAATTAGTTGCTTGTTAGATGATAGTAGCGCTGTCTGTGACGAAAACAAGAAGCATCAACGAAAGCAACAAGCGCACACATATATATATATACATGTGTATCTTATCTTATATATATATGTGTGCGTTTGTTGTTTTCATATACATACATATTTAGAAAGTAAAAAGTAGTTTGTATAATTACATTTAAACAATTTTGTTGTAATAGAAAATAGTGTTGAAAATTTATTGTTTTATAATTGCAAAAAATATTTAATTATCAGTAATTATCAATGAAACGGCCCAGGTTTCTTATCCGTGTTGACACTCAGCAGCATAGAGCCCACTGATTTCGTTCTATGTTCTTTGATCATCACCCGTTCTCTTTCTAAAGCAAATACGCAGACCTAAATGCGCATTAAAAAAAAAATGGTAGGGATAAAAATGCTTACTATGGTGAGGTATGACAGTAGCACGTATTCCACAACAAACGTGGACGGGATACTCATTTCTTCTTTGGGATTACATACATCTGTATAATAATAATAACAATAATAATAACGCACAATTATAATGAATACGTTAATAATAAATTGAAGTTAAAGAAAACTTTTTTTCGATTTATTTGAGATTATATTATAAAACAGAAACAAATTATTAATTGAATAACTATAATACCCATTGATATTTTAATGATAACAAAATAAAATAAAGCATTTTATAATACTTTTTATAGAATGTATTCATTTAATTGAACCTTGCAATTTGCTTTTCTAACTCTTGGTAACATTTGTTCAATTCCATAGATGTTTTAATTTAGAATTTCAATTATGTATTTGTCAAACGTATTATACAATGGATCATATATTTTATATCTTATATATTAACTATTTTCAACGGAGACTTTATGTAAATTGGTTTCGTAACAAAAAACATGATATTATATAGACCTGTCTATATTACCAAGTACCAAGTACT